TTTCATTAATTCCCAATTATCTCCCCTTGAATGAGGGCGTGGCCCTTCATTTGAACAAACTTGAATTCCCTTCACACAAGGATGCTTTGTGGCAGGTTTGGTTGAAATTGGCCCAGTGGTTCTTGAGAAGAAGTCGAAAATGTGAAAAGTTTACAAACAGACATCTGGACAGACAGCTAGACAGACGGACGCCGGACAAAATGTGATCAGAAATCCTCACTTGATCCTTCGGCTCAGGTGAACTAAAAACTGAAACTTATGTTACAAAATCCTGAAGGTAGTGCAGATTTTTAATTGCTCAAAACATGTCCCCAGGGAGAAGGACGGTACCACAATTCGGAATCCAAGTTTTAAAATCAAACTAAATAGGAAAATCTTTTTAGATCACCTGAGCTGAAAGTTAAAGTGAGCTTTTCTGATCCCCTAATGTCTGTATGTCCGTCTGTAAACTCTTGACATTTTCAACTTCTTCTCAAGAACCACTTGGTCAATTTTAACCAAATTTGGAACAGAGCATCCTTGAGTGAAGCAGAGTTTCAATTGTCAAAATTGAGGGTCAAGTTCCCTACAAGAGGGGATAATGAAGAAAAGACAAAAAAAGGTAGAGTCATTAAAAAATCCTATCAATAACCTCTGGGCCAAAACATTTGAAACTAATATCGAAGCATCCTGATGAATGTACATTTGTTAAATTTATGACCTTGAAGGTAGGGCAAGGCCACCATAGGGTATCAAAAATTTAAATAGAAATACATTGGGGGAATCAAAATCTTCTTTTCATGAACAACTGAGCCAGGAAAGCTGAAACTTATGTGGTAGTTGTACTTTTTTTAGGTCACCTGAGTAAACTCAGGTGACCTATTGCTATCCGTTTTTGTCCGTCGTCGTCCGTCGTGCGTTAACATTTAAACATTTTCAGCTTCTTCTCTGAAACCACTGAACCAATTTCAACCAAATTTGGCATAAAGCATCTATGGGTGAAGGGAAACAAAAATTGTGAATTTCATGGTCCCTGCCCCCCTGGGGCCTGGGGGTGGGGCAAAAACAACTAAAAATAGTGCAATCTCTAAAATCTTCTTCTTTACTCCCAGACATCAAGCAGTCAAACTGTTGGTATGATTGTAATCAGCATTGAGTCCTCTACCAAAATTGTAAAATTCATGGCCCCAGGGTCAGGGGTTCTGGTGTTAGGGCGGGGCTCTATTGATTATATAGTGAAAATGCAGTAAGTCTTTAAAAATTTTCTTCTCTGCTCCTGGGTATTAAATAAACAAATTAAGTTCATAGTTATAATGGGCAACAGTGGCTCTACCAAATTTTATGGCCCCAGGGTCAGGGGTTCTGGTGTTAGGGCGGGGCTCTATTGATTATATAGTGAAAATGCATTATTTCTTTGAAAATTTTGTTCTCTGTTCCTGAGTATTAAATGAACAAATTAAGCACATAGTTATGATGAGCTAGAGTGTGTATTCATAAATTGTGAATTTTATGGCTCCAGGGTAGGGTTCTGGTGTTAAGACGGGGCTCTATATTGATTATATAATGAAAATGCATTAAATCTTTGAAAATCTTCTTCTCTGCTCCTAGGTATTAAATACACTAATTCAGTAAATAATTATGGTGAGCAAGAGTGCCTCTACCAAAATTGTGAAATTCATGGCCCCAGGGTGAGGGGTTCCGGTGTTAGGGCAGAGCTCTATTGTTTATATAGTGAAAATGTAATAAATCTTTGAAAATTTCTTCTCTGCTCCTAGGTTTTAAATAAACTAACTAAGTACATAGTTATGATGAATAAGAGTGCCTCTACCAAAATTGTGAAACTCATGGCCCCAGGGTGAGGGGTTCTGGTGTTAGGGCGGGGCTCTATTGATTATATAGTGAAAATGCATTAAATCTTTGAAAATCTTCTTCTCTGCTCCTAGGTTTTAAATTAACTAAGTACATAGTTATGATGAATAAGAGTGCCTCTACCAAAATTGTGAATTTTATGGCCCCAGGGTCAAGGGTTCTGTGTTAGGTCGGGGCTCTATTGTTTATATAGTGAAAATGTATTAAATCTTTGAAAATCTTCTTCTCTGCTCCTAATTTTTGAATAAACTAACTAAGTAAATAGTTATGATAAACAAGAGTGTCTCTACCAAAATTGTGAAACTCATGGCCCCAGGGTCAGGGGTTCTGGTGTTAGGGCGGGGCTCTATTGATTATATAGTGAAAATGTATTAAATCTTTGAAAATCTTCTTCTCTGCTCCTAGGTTTTAAATAAACTAACTAAGAACATAGTTATGTTGAGCAAGAGTGCCTCTTCCAGAATTGTGAATGCCTTAGCATCTAGCTTAAAACATGAAACAAATTCAATCATTTGAAAGTTGTTGCATGATGCTCAGGTGACCTATAAGGCCCTTGGGCCTCTTGTTAATTTTTAGGATATGTATTTAAAATTGTACACATTATTCTCATTCTTCATTTTATTCATTCGGTCATTCATTCATTTATTCAGCGTTGCGCAATCCGATTTACTAACACTCTACGTTGTCTTGTTCAGTGTCTATTATAAACCTAAACACCCCTATTTAGTTAAACGTTGCATTCCAGGTAGACTACCAGGTAATGTTGTGAATGGGTTATTCCATTATTCAGTGGTACATTGATTTCTATTGGTCAGTGTAGTTGATTGGTTCTAAGGTAGAATTGGCGGGAATATTGAACATTTTCGGAATCTCAAACACCTGACCAATTTGGATCCACACCCTGAGCAATCGATCTTGTTATTTTATATTAAACAGAACCGGTTACACTTATGATGAAGCATCCTGGGATAGCGAAAATTCTAAAATGTTAGAAAGTTAACCCCCGGGGGGTAGGGCGGGGTCACAATAGGGAATCCAAGTTTTACATTAAAATATATATGGAAAACACCTTTAAAAATCTTCTCCTCAAGGACCATTAGGTCAAAAAATCCGAAACCCATACGTAAGCGTCCTAGGGTAGTGAAGGTTTAAATTGTTAAAATTACAACCCCTGGAGATAGGGCAGGCCGCAATATGGAATACACATGTATACGTTTTGCATGAAATATATAGAAAAAAATCTTTAAAATCTTCTTCTCAAGATCCACTGGGTCAGGAAAGCTGATACTTACATGGAAGCTTCATTGGGTTGTGTAGGTTCTAAAGATTTTAAATTATGACATGGAAGGGGTAGGGGTCCACAAAAGGTATAAAAAGAGGGGAAATTAAGCAAAGAACTACATCACCAAAGTTACTCAAGTGGGCAGTGTGGCTTATGGGCCTCTTGTTTGCAATAAGTACTGGCCAAAAAAGCTAGAATTTATATGAAAGCATCTTTGGGTAGGGTAGATTCTAAATTGTTCAAAGCATGGCCCCTTTTTGTGTGGGAGTGGCACAATGGTCCCATGGGCTTCTTGTTTACCGTACATGTGTACCCCTCGAGAATTTTATTACTTATATACATGTATGGAGACGACAACACGTGTTAATGGAGAGCTTCAAATGGTGTCCAATATTCGACACTGAAAGGTAAAATCAGAGAATAATCTTTTCAGTGCTAGCACCTACTGAGACACGGGACCTCGTTTGATAAAATACGTTTCAATCGTCAACTTTCCTTACTTATGCAGCAATACATGTATACTTTCATCAACTGCATAAGGGGTTGATTCAATACAGAAGAGCTAGTGTGCTCTACGTGTAAACAATTTCTAAAACGAGGTAGAAAAGATTATCAACAGTCTTGTTTATAAAGTCCACATTTTGTTAGTTCTATATATAGACGATACAAAGACTTCGCCAGCATATACATGTACATGTACAATTTATCATTAATTGTAATTATTTCCACATTAAATTGTCGACGAATGTTTCCATTGTTTTCCAAATCATGACAAGAAGCACACGGCTGATCTAACCCTTCAGCAGGGGATGTTTAATCCTTCATGGCTCCTACTTCCTAAGGAGGAATTAGAAGGACAAACTTTATTTTATTCCATGACCAATCATACAATAAAATCATACAATAAAACAATCCAAGAAAAAGGCGCAAAGATAGCTTACTTGCATTTGGCGCGAAAAGAGCGATTCACCACTTTTATAAAATATAAATAGACAGATCCAGTGGTGTAGAAATGGAGTAAAGGGGATACACGGACATGTTGAAACGGTGAACGGTGAATCACATTGAATAATCTGCTCAGTGTATAAAGAGTAAAAAAAAAATAATACTGCAGTATTTTGCATTTAGTAATATCGTTCTTTTTCTGAAAACTGTTTATTTTAAAAATGCAGGTAAAGAGTTCCAATATAAATCATCTAGCTCTCTTGGTATAATCGCATATAGTTTCGGATCTTGCAAATAATAATCCTTATACAGCCTGAAACCGTGACGTGTACCTAAAATTATCCTTGTGCATTTAAAATGGATTACTTTCCGATAGTTACTGATGGGATAATGTATCATGTGGTGCATTATAAGACTGCTGAGACTGCTGAAAGTTAATCGAGTTTGACATTTTGGTGACTGACATATGGAAAACTCCGAAACCGATTGAATGTGTAATTAATCATTATTATATATAAAAAGAAACATTTTGTAATTTTAATTTTGTAATTAATTTAAATTTGTTTGATAAAGCATTTTTAAAACGATTCTAGGAAAATAATTAAATTTCTTTGATAAAGCGTTTTTAAAACGGATCAGGGAAGATTTGTTATAAAGAACTATACGATAGTATTGTTCTCCCGCCTACCAATTCTCAAAATTAACATATTCGAATGATTTTCAAAACTGTTATAGATATTTATATGAATTTTCATAAAACATTACTAATTTGGGATACCAAAGAGAGATATAATTTTGGTAAAACTTGTGTTTTTCACTTATAATTCAACGGAAAACGGAAAAAAAATTTCAAACATCCCCCCGTGAAACAAAAATTCCTTTTTACAGGTAATATGGACTGTCATTTTACAAATTTATGCCAAAGCTTTTTGGAACATATGTACGGAAGCCCTGGAGGGACATTGACTTACTTGTTATGACTTATTTCTTATAACTTTTTTTGTTTAGACTTATTTGTTTTGAGATTTTTTTGTTAGTTTTAACTAAGTGTGAGTAAGCTATAGAGAACAATTAATTGTAGTTTTGTAGTAAAACGTACAGAACTGATGTGATTACTAAATTTTTATCTGTTAATTACGAACGCCCTTGAGGGTATATTAACTTTTTTGTTGTGTGTTTTGACTTATTTCTTATGTGTTTTGATTTATTTCTTATAATTATGTTTTGACTTAGTTCTTATGACTTAACTTTGAATTCTTGTTATTTTGAATTTGTTATGGCAAGTTTAGTTTACAAAAAGTGGCGTGAAAGATGGAGGGAACGTGTAGTTTCAGAAAAAAGAAAAAAAAATGACCTTGAATTTATTGCTAAAGACAAGATAAAATAGTAGTGACTGTCATGTTCTTGTCTTCAGTTATTATGCAAACTGGAAGTTACATTTAAGAATTACGTAATAACTTTTCGAAAATAAGAATTAAGTTATATCAAAAATAATATTTACTTTAGAAATCACAACTGTACTGGACGTTAAACCACAATTTGTTAATAAAAAACCACAGTTAAAATAGGACTAAATATCATTTTTATCATAAAAGTAAGCCAAGCAGCAGGATTTCAATAGCTTTTTTACACTTAGTTATAACTAGCTACGAAACATTCACAACAAATAAGTCAAAACAAAAAAGTTATAACAAATAAGTCATAACAAGTAAGTCAATGTCCCTCCAGGGCTTCCGTACATATGTTTATATACAAAAAACGTAAAAAAAAAAAAAAAAAACCACAAAACAAAAAAAAACAAAAAAAAAAAAATGATTTTTCACCAATTTTAAAGCTATTTACAAATAAATAATTGTATTTAATGAATTCATATATGTTTTATTTATTTGCGTAAAACATAAGAAAAGATATGAGATAAATTTTATCATATTCAAGACTATTTCAAAATATGGTGATTCTTGAAAGTTCGATTTCACTAGAAAATATCGTCTACCCCTTTTTTTCAAGAGCTGGAATTAATGATAATTTATAATCTAGCGCTGAAATTTAAATGATTTATCAATAACCATAGAACTGTTCTTTATATTAAACAAAGATTTAATGGCTAAATTGCCATTTATATTGAATTTAATGGGTGCAAAATGTACGCGGGAATCAAAAGTTAGAGTTCGTAGTTCATTGTCAGCTTATTTATTTATTATTATTTAATATATATTGAAGATACAGTCAAACTTGTCTTAGCGGCCACCCGAAATCAACGGCCACTCGCGGTCAGCGGCCACTTTCAGTTCCCCCCGATGATTTTTCCTATATATTTTAACTGGAATAAACGGCCACCTGTGTAACGCGGCCAGCGGCCACTCAAATCCTCCCCCAACAGTCTTATTGACACTGTAATAGGCGGCCATTTCGTCACTTGTTGCGATTCTATCACATTTTTTAAACGTGTTGGCTTGGGTAATGATATCCTCGATAGTCAATTTAACCTATTAATGCAATTAAACAAATTGCTTTTAGATACGTTGAACTCTGTTTGTGTTTATGAAAAAAAAAATATTTTTCCTGTTAGATCAATTTGTAATTATTTTTCAAGATCGCCGATTGAAAAATTAAAAGAATTTAATTGCTACAATTGATACTTTTCTCTAGCTAAAGAAATTCACACCTTTTAGATTTTGATTCCATGTAGAAACCCTTATTGCTATTCTTGTAAAAACAAAGTGCTTCATATGACATGATTATCTCGTAAATTTCACCAACAAGAGAGGATCGATAGAGATTAGTCACGCTCTACTGCATTTGACACCTGTGTTATGGAATGATTTTCAACTGCGTAAATACATCTCTCTGGTCAACTGGTTAATTTTATTTGTGTGTCTGTGTATGTTAAATAGAAATTCTGACAGCTTTATAACCAATAAAATTAATCAGACTTCATAAACTTCAGCAAGTAAGTTAATTACCGATTAATTAAGTTGAGAGGGGGGGGTTACACTGCTGACTATCTTTTAACATATATGTAAGTAAAATTTTTATTGACATTGTTTTACTTAAATTCCTATGCTTTATTTTATTTTCCATTAAACTGTATTTTTGTGTATTTTTTTCTTTATAAAAAAGGATAATAGTCAGCCACTGTATGTATTTATTCAAATGAAAATTTAAAGAATTTATTTAATAATTCAATGTAACAATTGCACACTTATGAATGCAAGTTATGTTTAACTAATATGTAGGAACAGAAACATGCACAAAACCTTAAACATTTCGAATCCTTTAATATTCTTTTTAAATGAGCTTGAATTATTATATATACACATAAAAAGCTTTCAAGAAATTAAACTGTTTAATTATGATTAATTAATTTAACTGTAGTGTTTAATGTTGTTTATTTATTGACCAAATGTCCTTTTCGAGGGCAATGGAATAAAAGGCCACCTTCTAAGTGGCCAGTTTCCAGACTTCCCAAAGGTGGCCTCTTAAAACAAGTTTGACTGCACTTTAATTTTGTTTGTTGCCCTTCTCTGTCTTTATTATAAATATTATATACAGTGTATTTGTTATGCTTATTGAACTTATAGAAATCAAATAAGTTGTGTAAACTAAGTACATCAAACGTATCTACATATCTAAACATTCAGATGCCTTATGATAAATAATTTATATCAGTTAATATTTTGAAAAGAAGATGGGGGGATAAGCCTGACGAAGTGCCTATATCATGTATATATTACGACAGATAAGAAGTGGAAAATTTCATCTCAATTATACCCATATTTTTTTTTTATTTTTCATCTAGGCCTAATATTAAAGAATTCTTAATGTAAAACCCTTTTAATTTACTAAGATCTCACAAAGACTGATAATAGTTGCCTCTAATAAATTACGATTTTAGATCGTTCACTGTGTGTTTTCTTCACCTTTTACGTTATAGAACATTACTAAGGCCACTCCAATGTAATTTCTTGTTCGTCGGACATTTGATGAAAAAAGTACCAACGGGCTAGCTGTCAAATAATAATATTATTACTTTATTGTAGGCAGAATTTTTAGGCGGGACGTGTAAAAAATTGAGCGGAGAATTATATTTTTTCTGATTTCTGAAGATTAAAAGTACGATAAATAGAGCGGAAATGGGAAAGAAAAGAGCACAGAATTCCCATGGTGCGGGGATTTTTAATTAATAGTTTTGTTTAAATACGAGCTCGCGGGTCCGACGAACAAAATTTTTATTGGTATGGCCTAACTATCATGGCTAAAGTTAAACTCCATATTCCACAAATAAAAGACCCTTGAATGACTTTCTTGTCCGAAGGCCAATTTCAAGCTACATGTGCACTGCGCACCATTTTTGCACAGATATAAAATTCTTGATCACTAAAGGTGGTCTGTGAGCTCGAGGTTGCCAAGGGAGTAGTCCCACGGTTAAAGATTAAATAAACAAGATGTGTTTGTGAAACACTATGCGCCCGGTGGCAACAAAGTTACTAAAAACTATTCTTAGCATATTGATCACACTCAAGGACACAAGATCAAAACGAAGTTGGGGAAAATTTCATCTGTTTCTTATTATTATTATTTTTTTCTTCTTCTTTTTTCTTCCTGGGCCTAATATCTAAACTGTTCGTCCGATGTAGGTAAAACCTTTTTAGGGTCAGTAGACATGTGATGTAGAGTTGCGGAATCAAGGTCATTTTGCGCGCATGCTTGCAAGAGCGTGCACGTGCAACACGTGAAATGAAAATAATGGATATTGTAGTAACTTTTCTGTGTGAAATTTTTTGAAACTCATAATGTAAGGATACATTAGAAGTACACACAAGATAGCATTTCAAAATAGCAAGATCTCACGCGCATGCACATTGGCTGAAACTAAAGTCTCAAATCTTTCTTGTTTCTTGTCAAATCCTTTGAAATTTTGAACATAGTCCTACATTATGAATATCTACAGCATGATATAAAAGAATTTTCATGAAAGCATGCGCATGTGCGCGTGCTGTAAAATCTGATTGGCTGAAACTTTAAATTTATATATCCTTTGTTTTTTGAGAAATTCTTTGAAATTTAAAATATAGTCATGCATTAGGATAACCTGGACAATATGGTATAGAAAAATATTCATAAATCACACGGTGTGCTGCAATTTTTATTGGCTGAAACTTGAAATGGCTATAACTCTCTTGTTTTTCAACCAAACCGGATGGGAATTAGAACAGAGATAGATGTACAGGACTCCTACAAGAAGGTATGTCATCATGCACGTGCACGCACGTTGAAGAACGAGTATAATTAAAAATAAAATGAGTGATTTTTATTTCTTTTGGAAAGCTTTAATATATAGTATATTAAGATGTATAGATAGTGTAGACAAGATGATATGGTCATAACGCACATGCATTCACGTACATGCGCTTGGGTGCAATGCTAAAATATGAATATAATTGGTATCCTTTTGGGAAGACGTTGCTAAAGTAAAAAATGCACAGAGTTTGTCTTATTTAACGAAGCTTACAGGGAATAAAGTTACTAAAAACTATTTTTAGCATATAGGTCACACTCAAGGACACAAGATCATTTATATTGGTGTTATTTGAAAGAGCTTTAGTAGTGGTGTATTCATATCAAATATGAAGTCTATATCTCGTATGGTTCAAAGTTTGTGGCAAAGCTTCGAAAATAGCTATTTTTAGCATTAAGGTCACAGTCAAGGTCACAAGGTCAATGACTATATTGTCTTTTGCATGATATTTATTAGTAAAGTATGAATACCAAATATGATCAAAGTCTCTATCTTCAATGCTTCGAAAGTTATGGCAAAAGTTTGAAAAAGCTATTTTTAGCATGTAGGTCACAGTCAGGGTCACAAGGTCATTAACCTTGGTGTCTTTTGAAAGAACTTTATTAGTGGAGTATGCATATCAAATATGAAGTCTCTATATCTCAAGATTCAAAAGTTATTGCGAAGGTTCAATTAAGTTTTTAGCAGACAGACAAACAGATACATGTAAACAGGCAGGACAAAAACAATATCCGGGCGCATAAAAACAGTCGTTGACTCCCATATAGCATTTTACTCATTCGGCACCTTTGTGTGAGACCATAACAAATCCACTTGACTTCCGGTTGACCAGTTTTGTCGTACAAATTTCAACTCATCCTGCTTAATTATTGTAAGCTGCTAACTTAATGCCGTGGTTATCTATTATAGTTAACATTTTTTATGAGCCTGGATCGATAGATCCGGGGCGTATATTGTTTTTGTCCTGTCTGTTTGTCTGTTTATCTGTTTGTCTGTTTGTCTTTCTGTCTGTTGTCAACTTTAACCTTCGTCAAAACTTTTGAACCATAAGAGATAGAGACTTCATATTTGGTATGCATACTCCACTAATAAAGTTCTTTCAAATGACATCAAGTACAAAGACCTTCTGACCTTGACTGTGACCAACATGCTACAAACAAACTGTTTGTCATAACTTTTGAACCATAAGAGATAGGGACTTCATATTTGCTATTCATACTCCACTAATAAAGTTCTTTCAAATATCATCAAGGACAATGACCTTGTGACCTTGACTGTGACCTATATGGTAAAAATAGCTTTTTCTACTTTCTGCCATAACTTTTGAACCTTAGGAGATAGTGACTTCATATTTAGCATGCATACTCCACTAATAAAGTTCTTTCAAATGACATCAAGGTCAATGACCTTGTGACCTTGACTGTGACCAATATACCAAAAATAGCTTTTTTGAACTTTGACGAACGTTGACGCCGGGTGCATAGTGTTTCACAAACACATCTTGTTTTGTTTTTTAATCTATTTGCAACAATTTTTCATGAGTGGAATTCATAAGCTCTTTGTTGTTGTCATTTTTTATTTTTTTTTTTACAGATTTCTCTAAAGGGACTCTCTACAGACGCCGTACTGGCTGTTTTAACACGCTCTTCTAGCGTCAAACGCCGCATGCGCTATTACTTTTTTCTGAGTTTTTAGCTTACCTGAACTTTTCACATTTTCGAGTTCTTCTCAAGAACCGCTGGGCCAATTACAACTAAACTTGCCACAAAGCATCCTTGGGTGGAGGGGATTCAAGTTTGTTCAATTGAAGGGCCACGCCCTCATTTAAGGGGAGATAATTGGGAATTAAGGAACATTTGGTGGGATGTTTTAAAAATCTTCTTCTCAAGAACAATTGGGCCAGGAAAGGTGAAACTTATGGGAAGCATCCTCAGGTAGTGTAGATTCAAGTTTGTTCAAAACATGACCCCCGGGGGTTGGGCGGGGCCAAAAATGACCGACCAAAGTTTTACAAAGAAATATATAGGAAAATTCTTTAAAAATCTTCTACTCAAGAATGACAAAGCCATAATTCATCATAATTATATGGAAGCATCCCCAGGTAGTGTAGATTCCATTTTGTTTAATTCATGGCCCCCGGGGGTAGGGCGGGGCCACAATGGCCACAATGGCCGAAAAAAAGTTTATTTACCTTGAAATATAAAGGAACACTTTAATTTTTAAGAATCTTCTTCTCAGGAATTATAGCAAATCCATTATTCATCTTATTCATATGGAAGCATCCTCAGGTTGTGTTGATTCAAGTTTGTTCAAATCATGCCCGTGACAATGGCATATCGAAGTTTTGCAAAGACATATATAGTAAAATTCTTTAAAAATCTTCTTATCAAGAATAGCAAGGCCATGATTGGTCATTGGACTACTTTTGGAATTAAACTTTTCAATAATAAATCAATTTCTACTTTTCCGAGCCACAGTGCTCGGGTAAGCGATGTGGCCCATGGGCCTCTTGTTAACTCGTTCAAATTAAATCACACAATTACAAAGGGGAAAAAATGATTTTTTTTTTCATCGAAAATGGAATAGACACGGTTTTCATTTTTTCTTTAGATTGGTCACACTTTCGTAAACATTGTAGGTTGGCATTATTAAAGTAACATGTTTATATATCAAACACATCATCAACATGTTTTTAAAAGTAAAATGTCAATTGACCTAGGTGTTGTGTCACTGAGCAATTTTGTCTAGTGTATTTAAAATTGGCAATTTAGACTAAATCCATTGAATTGTCGCTGGTACTACATTTACCGAGCCCCTCCAAAGAGAAGCTCTTCAATGTTTGAAGTTAAAAATAGTTTATCAAATATTAAAACTGTAGCCGCGATTATTTTAAGAATTTTGCATTTACTTACCTATAAATAACTTTAAAATGTCGCTTGCCGAGGCAGATATTTCAAAAATGAAGGTTGATATCAATTGTATTCATTTCCTCATTTGCAAGCTGGCACGTTTATTGTATTCATATATGTGCTCGTTTCCATTTAGAATTTCCTCGGATAAAAATAATTTTTATTTTATGTGTATAGGTTGCTGAACTGAAAACGGAACTAAAGAAGCTTGGGTTGCCAACAACGGGACAAAAGACGGAGTTGGTAACTAGACTGAGAGAAGCCATACAGACAACTGGTAGGGGAAACCGACAAATTAAGTTACCTCATATTGTACAGGTCCAGTACTATCTCCGGATTTAGCTATATAGCTTTAAATAGCTATATAGCTTTATTAAGCTATTCAAAATAGCTTTATTTAGCTATTTTTATACAGCTTTTCACAAAAGTGTTTTTTGCTGAAAATAAACAAAAAGTCGCATGTATTTGACTCTTCATATTTGTACTATGGGCTATCAAAACAACAACCAAAATCAAAGATAGTTCTACCTTTGCAGCTTTTGAATACTTTTAAGGACAGATGATACAAACAAAAAATGGATGCCTGGATTGGTATATATTTTGTGGCCTAATGTCATTGCAAATGATGCAAAAAATAAATATCTAGAATATAAAGAAGTTGTAAACTTTCTGTGATGTTCAAAAGTCTGCCCTTCTGAAACCATCCTTATTAATCTATACAAATATTTTTGACTTCAAATTCAATTTTTGTGCAAATTCGAATAAAAAAATAAAAACTACGCGGCGAAAGTTATTCATTTTGCTCATTTTAACATGACCTAAGTTGTTATTTTCAAATTCTTTGACAAAAGTTTGTTTGTATCATCTGTCCTTAAGCAAAAGAGAATTTCTATTGTTAGACTAACAATCCACTACCTTGGGTGCCTTTAGGCAATATTGCTTCTTATTGTGCTGAACTGTTACCAATCTATTATCTTGTTGAACATAATTGGTCTCCATTATAATATCATTGCAGAAGTAACTGCATCAATTGCTTTATATAGCCCCAAAACTTGTAAAATTTTGAGTACAAAGTCTCTCAAGGAGACGTAATTTGATGAGTGAATTTTACATGCATTATTTTAAGAAGAGTTCAAAGTTGTATATCATCACTGCACCAAGGTGCGCTTTTTTGTACATACTGAGAAAATTACACCTTTGAGAAAAAAGTAGAGTAAAATAGCTAAATTAAGCTATACTGAATTGCATAATAAAGCTATATAGCTATATAGCTAAATCAAGAGATTGTACTGGACCTGTTGTATGGTAAACATTTTACTAGTTCCTTTTGAAAATTTAATCTTTAGAACAAAGATAACCGAACTATTCTTAATATGTTTTACGGTGTGACCGTTGGGGCGAGCGCAGTTGTAACATCAAAACACTTAAAAAATATTGATCAGCCACAGGGTTTTCTCACACCACTATTTTGGACTGGGTCGGGGCTGTTCAAATTTGGAAAATTATCGTCATTTTGGGAAAAGTTGGATAACCAACATTCTTGAAAAAATACTCAAATTTTGCTTTTCTAGAATTTTGTCATCAATTTAATTCTGGTTTTGAATACACAGTTAAACAGTTCAAACTTTTTATTATATGTCTTTCTGAGTGATCGTCGCTAGTCACATAGTCCCGAATTTCCTTGAGCACATGGACATTGTTGCTTACCAATAGAGCCTGAACATGCCCAAGCGGCCATGGGTATTTTTCTAGGTGTAGCTTACTAATGTTTAAATGAAATGTCTATTTTTGAAACCAAAATGATGTTTTTGTCGATTTTCATGACAAGATACTCTGCACTTATAGTTACACATTTTTTATAAAAACAATAACCTGGATCCCTGAACCAGTTTACGAATGCATTTGGCGCGAACTAATTCATAATCGTACCTAAAACTTGTTTGTTTCACTTTCATTTGCAAGTGTATTTTGTTTAGGGTTTTATGCAATTGAGTTTCATGAACTTTTTTAAATTAATATTTCGAATAGAAATTGGGAAATTTACACCTTTCTTTTGGGGAAAAGGTACCTTTTTTGCATTGGGAACGGGGCCGAATATCGGCCCCAGATTTAGAGAATCGAGAGCCCTGAGCCACTTCAACCATCAAACCGCACGAGAAATCTTGACTAGCTGCGACGTCATGTGACGTCACAGAGCTTGTCGGAGCTAACGGAGAAAGCCGAGCGTCGGTTAAAGCTTTGGATCTTATGCAATTATGGTCGAAAAACAAATTGCAGAGTTATTTTTTGTTTAGAACTTTGATAAATTTCTACAAACTGAAAGCCTTATATGCTTTACATTATTATTTAATTTATTTATTCATACAAAGGACATTGGGTAGTAAAAGATTTCTGGGAATATTTCACAACAAAATTTGCCTGAAGTATGTACAAACTCCATTACGAATTGACCCCTGAACATTTCATAAAAGATAGATTACTTTTACTGTCATGAATGCTTTTCTTCTACATGTTCTACTTAATAAGCCAAGAACAGCATAAATTAAGTTTTTTTCAGATACCAGTAAGTTTACAATAATGAGAAGTAAAGTATCAATAACTGGTGTAAGATACTGATGAAAAGCATAATCAGGGAAAAATAACCCAAATGTTGACATTTAATAACTTAAACAAATCATTTAAAAAATAACTTGTTTCCATGATGCCCTTGACTGAAGATTGATTTGGTTATTAAACATCACATATTCAAGCACATGGCTGGTTTTTTCACAGATAACAAGGATACTTTTTGGTTTGTTTGGCTCATTGATGTGTCTGACTCAATGCCACATTGTGTCTGTCACAATCACTCAAACGCTTTATGTATAAGTATTTCTCACTGATAAATATTTACGCACTTTACTGATTGCGAAATTTTTCAAGGGACAAATACTGAACATTCAGACAAAATTGAAAAACAAATATTTATTATCGTAAATTTTCTAATCGCCATGCGGGCTACTTGAACATAATTTTAAGTCACCCACATGGAATCTTAGTGCAAACTGACTGGGTGACTGTTAATTTCAAACCCTGATATTTGTGTAGAAGTCATAAGTCTACAGATAAGTGATAAGAAGGATCAGATGTGCTATTCCCTTCAAAGTAACACAACGTTTTTCTCTTTCAGATGACATTGAGCCTGAAGAAGAGGTATGGCAATAGCTGCAATATTTTTTAGCGTGGGGGGGGGGGGGAGAGAGAGAGAGGCTGCCAAAGAGAAAAAAAATTACTTACCGGAGAAGAGTTGAAGTGGTGGGATTGATTTTAATCAAAGTTCACAGTCAGGCCATCTTAAAATAATTGTTTGGTTGCTCTCTCCTGACGGACTGACTAAGAATAGATGACCCAAAACTTTATTTGTTACATTCCAGGACACAATATTTTTTTCTTCTTTTTATTCCTCTCATGGATATCCTGTCAGCAAATATGTTGAAATTTTGGGGGAATAGATTTTTCAGTTGACTTATCCCCACATTAAACTTACCCTGAGTCCAGAGAGAACAACTTAATTGTTGTAAGAGAGCCTCCTGAGCAATGTATTTTTGTCCTGTGTACTTTCTACAGTAATGGAATGAGCATAACAATCTCACGAACCTCACTAAAATGTTTCGCTCGGGAATAAAAGTTGGTTTACAGTAAATACAAATCAGTATAAAAATCAATTCAAAAGTTAAGGTTTTATTATTTCTCTAAGATACACTTAAATTGAACCTGTCCTTTAAAGCAGTGAATATTTTGAATATGTTTAGATGTCTTATGTATATTTAAAAAAATTTGTTTCTAGATTTTGATTTTTCTTATTATTATCAAAACTAAAAGGTATTTATCAAAGAAGAAGTCACGTACCTATCTACCCACCTTGAAAATGTAAGTCATACAGACCAAAAAAAAAATTTAATGATGAGCTTGGGAAGTGAACTTGTCATTGTTTTTTTCACATTTTCATGCCTAAAAGTAAAATGTTGTCTTGCTTAATATTAATTTCTACTTATTTCTGTTGCCATTGTTTTGTAATTGAGTAATAATGTTGTCTTACTTAATAATAATTTCTACTTTTTTTCTATTGCCATTGCTTTGTAACTGCTGTTTTTAGGGAGATGATGTTCTGCAGGATGAAGAGGAAATTATTCTATCTGGAGACCAGGATCTTTTGTCAGAAAGGTACTCCTCAATTATCAGCTTTATGTCCTCAAATATCAAATGGAATTTAATTTTAAATGTCCTCAAATATCAGCTACATGTCCTCAAATCTCAGTTAAATGTCCTCAGCTGAAATATAAATAGGTACTCCTCAAACAAATATCTAGAATGTCCTCAAGTATCAGTTAATTAGTCTTCAAAACAAAGATTGAGCAGCCAATCAGAATACTCGGAATGATTTTTGTATTTCTCTAGTGTGTGTTGCGACAGCCAATCAGAATGCTCGGAATGATTCCTGTACATTTCTCTTGTTATCGGCCGCAGCAGCGGCCGATCTATTTGTGGTTGTGTTAGAAAGTGAACATGGGGAAATGAGACTTATTTTTCATTAGTTCAGTTAAATAATTCTTGATTGATAAAAATTAAAAATCATGAGTAAAATATTTTTTAAAAAACTTGATTTAATATTAGCATTAATTGTTGTTATTATATTTCAATTTCATTATCATTTCTCGTCAGATGATTGATAATTTATGGTTATATAAAAAGAATGTACAATAAATACTCCGCGGTTTGGGAGTGTGTAAGATATGAAAGGAAATCGCCATGATTTTCCGGAAAATATTGACGTGATGAAAGTGCATGGTGAAAATCAACACAGTAAAAATATTGTTTTGAATATGCTCTAAAGCTGCAAATAATGCAAAGACATTTCCCTACATTTTGCATCTCGGCTTGCAGCAGAGACTTAGAACTCTGCAGAAGCCATGGGCATTATCACGTGACAAAGATCCAGGGTATATCAGCACGTGGTTTATCTTGAGAGGCCTACATCATTTTCAATAAATTCTCATCATTCATCATTGACGTTTTTTTTTTTTACGGCGATAAAACTATTTATAAGCAAATGCTGTAAAATGTCTATTTATCAATTTTTTAAAATTACTTTGCTTTGAAGATAGCAAAAAAAAAAGAATTCAACCATTTCTCCTTTGAATATCTTGACGTGCTTTCCTTGCATGTGGAATAATTTTTTACTGCTAAATTTTGTTTGCGGCCGATTTGATGCTTTGCATCAATTTAACTTGTTTGTATTGTGCCAATCAGAATACTTGGCTTTGTGTTTTACAGCAAGTCAGAGTCAAAAGAAGAAGCAAAAGAGGAGGTAGAGAATGTGAAGCCAGCAACCAGTGTCATCTCCACCAGTGTGTCGGAGGAAGATGTGAGTAAAAGGTCATAGGAGAACTACAACTGTCAAGGTCATGAACTTTAGGTCAAAGGGCATGAGTCAAACTGGACACAGGAAAATCCTGACTTCCCAATATCTTCAGAACTTTTTCGTTGACAAATTTTAAACTTGGTACATTGGCTCTCATTTAGAAAAGTAAAAGCATATTTTTTACCAAGACATCATTTAATAGATTTTATTTTTGGTAATATGTAATGTAGGGGATACATGTATGTTGTGTTTTTGTTATAATGGAATCCTCTAAACACTATACAAGAAGGTAGAGTTTTAATGTATGTCTTAAATATGAAAAGTTACGATATTTTCTTTTTGTTAATTGATATCTTTAGAGGTTAAAGAAACGAGCAGAGAGGTTCGGGGCGCTGAGTGAAGAGCTGAAGAAGAAAGCTCGAGCTGAGAGGTGAGAGATCATCTATTATAAAAATATTTAAAATGTTTTACATTTCATTATTTAATTCAGTGACATGGAAATAGTAAACTAAAAGAAAAAAAGGAACAGCAGGAGTCAATCTGTCATGTGTTGCCTGTTGTCTGTAAATTTAACTTCAACAATTATGTGTTCAAATTTTCAACTTCTTCATAAGAAGTACTTTGCCAAATTTCAACCAGACATGCAACAAAACATCTGTGGGGATTTAAATTTGTTCACAGAAAGTGTTATGCTTTCTCTCAAAGGGCGGTACACGTTGTAATTAAAAGAAGTTTGTAAAAGAATATTTGGCATCTCTTTTAATCTTCTCAAAAACCACAGGGCAAGAAAAGATGAAACTTGTATGAAAACTTCTTACGTACTATAGATTCAATTTAGTTCTTACATGTATCATAACCCCTCAGGATATTTTGGGGCCACACAAGGGTCACTGAAGTGTAATTAATTAAGCAGCTAATACACCTTCACATTAATTTTGTAGATAATGCTGGTTGATATGTAGTCAATTTCTTATTTTGTAGATTTGGTACCTCGAAGCCCAGTAATGGAAAGATCACATCAAATGTTGTAAGTAGTCTGATTATAATTGCCTCCCAGTGACTGTATTTTTCAATTTACAGTTCACAAATGAAGATCACCCAGGTCTGTCACATAGCTTGTATGTTTGAAGAAGCTCACCACATGAAAAAATATGCATGTGTGCAATTTTGTGTGATTTACACAGCAGTTACAATCATAAACCAAAAAACCATTCCTTACAGAGAAGGCTAAATTATATGGGTGGGGGTTTAAAAATAAAAGATCCCCCCCTACATTTCTCTCAGGAAAAAGTCATTAACAAAAGTACACTAGAATATTGAATTGTTGTTCCTCTACGTTGTTATGTTTATGTTACTGTTTTTGTCACCCAGTCTTGATGTCAACAGTTTAGTATGAGCTTCTATGTGACACTGTATGCATGTATTTCTACAGTAGAACTCATTTATTACGAACATGGATATTAAGAATTCAGGATATAGTGAAGTCATCTTGGAACTCCAGCTATATATATTTATTGAATTTCTTATACGGTTATAACGAATTACGGATATAGCGAAAAAATTTCATAGGTCCCAACGACTTCGTTATATCTGAGTTTTTCTGTCATGAAAATATGATCAAAAATCCATTTTATATAGTATTGTTGTTTTAAAAAAAAAATAAGAAAACGCAAATTTAAATTTTAAGGATTCCTTTTGAATTCAAGCTTTCAGATTGATTGTTTGACGTATGTATTCACCCAAGTGACCAAACTACTATATGTTACATGAAGCAAACACACCTCTGAGACAATAGCATAGGTCTATAGCTTCACTAAAATTTCACAAGCGATGCATTATAACAGAATTAAAATTTTGATTTTATTTTACAGGCCACTGATGTAGATAAGTTAAAGCAGAGGGCCGAGAGATTTGGGGCGGTGGTAGCCCCTGTCTTATCTAAGGTAGACAACTCTACTTATGCCTTGTTAACACTCTATTTAGGGAAGGCCTTTCTCTTTACACTTTACTTCACAATATCCTATGTATTGCTGTAATTCGTGCATTTGCTGTTCTTCGTTTTATTATGGCCCCGCAAGGATTTGCGGGTGCCCTATAGTAATCACTCTGTCTGTCCGTCTGTCTGTCTGTCACTCTTCCGTCCACAAATTTTCTGTTTTTTATGCCCCCCTTCGAAGAAGGGAGGGCATATTGCTTTGCTGCTGTCCGTCGGTCTGTCGGTCCACTTAGTTTCCGTTCATTTTCTTCACAACCGTTGCACATACTGAAATGAAATTTGGTATACCGATTTATCAGAAGAATATCTAGGCCAAGTTCTGTTTTGGGTATGATCGTGCCATTTTTTACAGAGTTATGCCCTTTGGACTTAGAAAAATTCTAATTATAATCTATCCATTTGTCCTTAAGGAGATTTGAGTGGACATGTATCCAGTTAAAGATAATTAATGAGCTTAGTGTGGGAAGTTGGGCATCTCTGATTATGTGTTATCTATATCTCCTGAGAATTCGACAACAGAAGGAAAGATCTCTCTTCTCTAATTTTCTTAATTGTAATTTATTGCCTCTCAAAACATTTATTTACCAGCCTTTTAAAAAAAAAAAAAAAAAAGAGTGTGATAGTTAATTGTAAAATTAATTTGTTTTTTTATATTATATTGTATTTATATGTTTTTTTCTTAACAGTCAATTTACAGTGTCATGTTGCACAAAGATGACAAACAGTTCAAATTCATATTTTCAATGTAATAAAAGATTAGGATTATCAAACTTTGTCAACTTATACTTCTTGGGTAGACGGTGTGTCGCACACAAAAAGTAGGTCGCTTTGACCTTTAATAAAGATGCTATAGCCGAATATGGAAAAATCCTGTCCAGCTCATAACTAGAAAACTATTAGACCTCGAGCTTTCAAACTTGGCAAAAGTATACATCTAAGGTAGTAAGTGTGTCGCGGCCTATTTCAAGGTCACTGTGACCTTTAATTTAAGTGAATTTAAAAAAAAAATTTAAGTCTTTAAAATTTTAAATTTCATAATCCTAAAAAATGTAAAGATATAGTTGTATCCTTATTAAAAAATGTTAAATTCAGTAAAAACATATTTTTTCATCATATACTTTATAGCAATCTGTAACAAATGTCAATGTGTTTAGAGGAATTCAGTTTGTCCCATGGGCATAATTATCAAGCACTGGTCAAGAAGAATTTTGATAGCAGAAATGTGCATGTCAAATTAGAGAGAAATTAATGAGTTTATCATCAGGAGCTAACTCGTAGTCTCTAGATCTGATCATGCAGCTGCTTAATTTATCTCTTGGGAGTTAGGCAAAAAGAAATGGCCTCATAGTTGCTTGTGTTAATTAAGAGTTCTTGATGGCTGTAGTCCAGATAAAGATTTTACAAACATCTCTTGTTTCTAATAACTTTTTTTATGGTTGCCCAATCAAGTTCAAATTTGGTATGGTAGTTCAGTAGGCAGAAATACATATTTTGATGCTAAGTTTGGTTCTCTATGTCTTCTGGTTTGGAGCTGGGGTGGTGGGGTAGATTCCTTAACTATGCATAAGAATGAATGGACAACTTTTTGTATGGTTGTCCCATCAAGTACAAATTTGGTATGGTAGTTCAGTAGGCAGAAATACATATTTTGATGCTAAGTTTGGTTCTCTATGTCCCATGGTTTGGAGCTGGGGTGGTGGGGTAGATTCCGTAACTTTATATAAGAATGCATTGGCAAAGAGAGATAACTGCTGAAGATGTTCCCATTGTAAACTGAATGCTGGCTATGAGTCCCTTGGGATTAATTAGCTTTCCTCCTGAAGAAAATCCAGAGCATCATCTTTATCTGTCACTTTGAGATTAATTACCATCTCTGTCTGCAAATGAAGTTTGTTTTGAAGTTAAATCAATTTGGAATGCTATGAACACTCTGAAATGTGGATTTAAATATAAATTTTTATAATTTATTTTTGTTTAATAGTTATGATTTCATTAAATTCTAAAAACAAGAAATAGATTAAAGAAGATTTTTTGATTTACTTTTTTTCACTTTATGTTAATTGATTTTAAAGGTAGTTGTATAAAACCCCCATTCTATCATTAATACTGAAAAAGTTCTTATTGTAACTTTAGAAGAAAATGATGAGAGAGGTACAATTAATCCTTTGGGATTAATTATCTAGCCTGCTGCAGAAAATTTAGTAGGCTTTTCTTTATCTTTAAGATTAATGAAAACCTTTATCTGCAACTGCTGTTTGTTTGAAGTTAAGGTCAAGCCTTCATGATATTTGCATTCATTGAAGGCTGGCATTCTATATAACACAAGCTTCATAATTGTTTAAATATACATTCAGTGTTAAGTTATTCTTTACTGCCTAATGTAAATACAAGGATATTATTTTCAGGTTTTTGAATATTCAGGAATTATCTTGAAATTTTAAGAATACAGTTGCTGTTGCTTATTCTTCGTACATTTTTCAATCATTCCGTAAGCTGCACCCTCATAATTCTACCCCATGGTGGGGCCGTTGCTGACTGGTCAGTTTTCTAGTTCATGCTGTTGCATTTAAGACCTTAATCATATTTTTTTTTACTGTTAGTAATGTTATGTTTAAATAAGAACTAGTATAGGTTCATATACATTTACTTGAAATTCAGTGTATAATTTACAAAACAAAAACAGTCTTTGTGTTATCTTGAAACCAACTGGATCAAGAAAAATCCAAGATAAAAACTTAAAGATATTTAATTATTCAATGTAATACAAAGAATCCCATTGACTTTCATGTATCCATGATATTCAAGATATTGATGTTGGATATAGACAGGGGAATTCCTCAGGTCTTAGGACAACCCTGCATGTTTAGACATGCATAGAATCTGAATTATAAACTACAGATTTAAATAGAGGGATAAAAAGAGTTTTAAAAAATTATGATTTGATTTGTTGTGTGTGAAAAGAATTAGACAAAGTGATACAAATAAACACCAACACTCTATACATGTAAAAGTGAGTTAGTGACTGATGACTTGATTTATCTGAGAATCTTTCTGTAGGTAACAAACACAGACAAATTAAAGGAGAGGGCCGAGAGGTTTGGGACAGTGGTAGCACCAGCCTTATCTAAGGTGAATCAAACTTGTCATAAAATCATATAGTTATGTCTTATCTAAGGTGTGTCAAACTTGTCATAAATCATTTAGTTATAATGTCCTTATCTAAGGTGAGTCAAACTTGTCATAAATCATTTAGTTATAATGTCCTTATCCAAGGTGAGTCAAACTTGTCATAAATCATTTTTTTTTATTTTCTTATCTAAGGTGAGTAAAACTTGTTCTAAAAACATTTTTAAAATGTCCTGAGACTCAAAAAATTCTAACATACAGTATAACTTTGTTATCTTGAACTTAAATCTTTTCTGATCCCCTCACAACATACATGTGAATTAAATCAAACAGTTTTTTATTCCAGTCAGCGGAACAAGAACAGCTACTGAAGAGAAAGGCTAGATTTGGGGTCAGCGGGGGGTCAGGGTCATCGGACAGCGCAGAGGTCAGTAAGCAGTGTCCTGTTAAAGCTTGACCTTTTGACCTTAGCATCCATTATCTGTCATAAATGACCTAGATTACGTTGCTATAGTAAAAGGTTGACCTAGATTATCTTGTCATTCAAAATTGAGAAAATTTGTTACAGGAGATGATATTTATCTTTCTTAAAACACACTTGATTTTATTTGATCAATCACAGATTTTATTTGTATTTCAATTTATCTTTATTTAGATTTCACAGAAGAAAAATTGTTTTTCACTGAATGATTTGACTTCATTCTGTATTCTAACGTTGTTTTTAATCTGAGTGAATCTTTTGCAGGCTAAGAAGCAAAAGAGAGCGGAGAGGTTCGGACTGACGTAGCTGGTTCTTTACCACATCTGTGTTCTCTATATAGGCAGTACATGTACCATCAAATCATGGTGTGAACGAGAGGGGTCATGGGAAATTTGAATGAACTTTTAGTCATATCTTCTTAAGTCATTTACAAATAGGGATGATCATATTTGTCTTCTTTTCATTTTTCATCATCGTGACTTTTCGTAAGTCAGAAATACACGGAGATTGGCCCATTGTATAGATGTTTTATAAAGAGAAAATTAATTTTTTATTTGTGTATATGCCTTCTTTTTAATAAAGTTTCACTTGTGTAATCATATCATTAATATGAAATGATCATCAATAATGCAATGAATTACAGAAAAATTTTAGTTCATGTTTTAAAATAAATAGATTTGTTTACTTATGATGTGTAGAATTATATATATCTGTTCTAATAACCTAGTACATGCATACAATAGAGAGTTTGTATCAATTCTCTCCAGTGGTTGCCCATGTTGTACAGTGAGGGAGTTCAAAGTTCAGATCTTACTGTTGACATGGAGACCAGTCCTTCAAATGAGACTGTTAAAACTGAGGTCTCATGTCACAGTAGGTGCTGGCAGAAATAAGATCTCTCACTTCATAAAGGCCCTGAGTGCCAAGTAAAAAGATGGGGGAACAAGGTGTACAGAATGCCTACAGCTTCAGACATTAAGAAATCATATTCAGTATGTGAATTGAGTATTTAAATTCAGTTCTCAAAATTGAAATTATGAGAAACAAACATTTTCTGAAAGAAAGAAGTTTTTTCATTATATTTGGCAAATAATTTCAATCTCTGTGGTATTTTTGTAAATTGTAGAGATCATACATTAAGTAAACTTTAAGATTCGAAGAAAAATCAAATAAAGTTAGGATATAATTGAGATTTAATTTTTCACTTCTGAATCATGTCCGTCGCACTATAGACATTTCTTCCACCTTATTTCCACTCTTCCCCCATCTTCTTTCTAGTGAAAAATTCTCAAGAAGGACATTGAACAACAAACAAGCAATCTTCTCCAATGATATTGAGGTACAGTGGACCTTCAGATATTCGGATGCTTCAGTATCCGGAAGACTTTTCATCAGAACGAAATTTGTAAATTTGTCTTGTTTAACTGGTGATTCAGGTATCCGGACGCTTCACATATCCAGACAAATTGACTGGGAACCAAAGCGTCCGAATAAATGAGGCTCCACTGTACATGTATTTTGGGTAGTGGGTAGGTAAGTTTTCGGTCCTTGTTCACATAACCTATTAACCCTAGGCCCAGTTTTGGTATAGTCCATCTCATTTTCTCTGACCTTTCTTGTTAATAAGGAATGGATTTAAAAGCTGCTCAAGTTATACTGGGATTACCTTAAAGTTACGTAAAGTATGAAAGCACTAGCCCTATCCCTTTAAAAGTAATGGTCAAGGTTTACTTTGTAAAAGATAGTCAAACCCCAAGCTCAAGGTCAAAGGGCCAAAATTCTTGGTATCGAATGAAGGGTCCTCTTACAAAGATTACATAAGTAAAGTACATGTATGATATCGCTGGTCCTTAGCGTTCAAAAGTTATGGCCATGATTAAAGTTTTTTCATAAGTACAAAAATTCCTAAGGTCAAGGTAATTGGTACATCCAGTAGAATATGGAGGCCCTGGTCATAACCGTTCAGAAGTTATGGCCAAGGTTAAAAATTTATTAAAAAAAAAAAAAAAAAAAAAAAAATAAGGTCAAACTCCAAGGTCAAAGTCCTTGTTATAAAATGATAGGTCTTAATTGTCACAAGAATTCAATATGAGAAGTATGAAAGTACTAGGGTCCGTGTAACACTTAACAATTTAAATTTCTAAAACGATTTAGAGTTTTAGAATATTAACATATTACATGTATTTGATATTAGCTTCAAACTTTTAAAATCCAACTTTGAAACCTTTTAGATTTTTAGAAATTTAGAATTTTGAGTCAAATACTCCAGTTTGAAATAACCTAAACACCTTCAGTATGTAGAACTTTGCTTAAATATCCAAAATGTACACCAGGTATTGAATTTGATATTTTAGATATTTGAAGTAAACCTCTAAAAACTCAAAATGTAAAAAGTGATTTGGTTATTAAAAAGTTGAGAGTTTTAATCAAAATTCTAAATTTCTAAAAATCGAAAACGTTTGAAAGTTGGAAGTCTAAATAATCAAAGATGTAAAATGTTATTGAATTTTAGATTGTTAAGCGTGAACTTTCTTAAGAATCGGTATATAAAAACTCAAAAGTTTAAAATACAAAATGTGTTTTTGGAAATTTGCATTTTCAATATTTAAAGTAGAAATCTAAAATATTAAATTTCTAAAACCTGTTTGGAAATATGGAAATTTAGATTTTTTAAGCAAAATGTTAAATTCCAATATAATAAATCAGTTTGAGTTAGAAATTTGAACTTATATATCAACATTCCAAAACTCTAAATTGCTTTAGAGATTTGATTTGTTAAGTGTTACACGGACCGTACTAGCTCAGATTACCCTTTAAAAGTAAAGGTCTGTTTTTTTTAAAGTAGGTCAAAATCCAAGGTCAAAAGGTCGAGGTTTTTGGTATCCAACAAAAGGTCTTCTCACACGGATTACATATATGAAGTATGAAAGCCCTATCCCTTACCGTTTTAAAGTTATGGCTAAGGTTTTTCACAAGTACGGAAATCTACAAGGTCAAAAGATCAAGATTGTTGTTATCCATTGAAAGGTCTTTCAACAAAGAATACATTTCGAAGTATAAATGTCCTGGTATCTTATGTTCAAAGATATGGCCAAAGTAAAAGTTTGGAAGTTTTGTGTAAAATTTGGTGGTGTCGATAGAAAGGTCTTTTAAAAATTGTCACAATTAGGGATTAAACATGTAAAATATGATAGTCAAAGCTCCACTAAATCAAAAGTTATAGACAAGGTTCAAGTTTTTGCGGAGAAACAGACAGCTAGACAGACGGATACGACAAAAACTATATGCTACATGTAGTACCCCCCGAAACTTCATTTACGGCGGCATAATCATGTCCGGAGTCTGCACTTAAAGAGTGGATTGTATATTTTAGGCCGTGGTCTGCATCGAGGAGCTGATTGATACGTAGGAAACTTAGCTTATATGCACAGGTCTTCAGATAAATTAGAGAAAAAAATTGAGGTGTTAAAAAATATCTTTTTTAACACACACATTTTTTAAGCGATCCAAAGACCCACATGAGGTTATATGATATAAACTATTTTCCTATCCTTTCAAACTAATTAATCATCACCTAGAATCCCCATATCCTTTTATTTCATACAAAGCAATAATTTTAGATACAAACAAAGTTGTCTCGACCTCTGTTTTGATAAATGCTAGTTATCATTTTAAAACCCAAAGCAATTCAAATCCCTGCATTTTATTGCATTTATTTCCTTTATACTGTACGACTGCGGGGCATTTGCTCAATAAAACCGTTGGTTCTCTCTAAATGCTATTTTATTTTCATTTTATTTACATGGGCTGATGCCAGCCATTTTGTGGCAAATGATCAAGTTTTAAAACGTGTTAGTTTGTAAATATTGCCAGTAGACAAATATTGATTATAAATTAGTTTATTTTTTCACAGTTTACAGAAGTCCAGTATTCCTTCAGGATTTATAATGCATGATTATAGGATATCCAGGACGTACCCTACCCCACCTCACCCCCCCCCCCTCCTCCCGAAAAAAAAAATGGCGATTTTGCTAAGGAGTTTTCAGTGCTCCTCACACTTAAAAAGCCCCCCCCCCCCCCCCCCCAAAAAAAAATGAAATTGAAAAATTTTTGAACCTGAAATTTTATTGCACGACCACAAATTATCTCCATTGCAAAGACATTTCACTGCCATGAAGTTGGGGTCAATATCCAACAGGGTCAATTTTCAACTTTGTTGGGGGGGGGATAAGAAAATAGGTGTTAGATATTAACCTGATATCCATCCCTGACTTTTGTCTCAAATTTCAAGCATAAGCGGTTCAAAATGCAGCATTCATGAAAATTAAATGAACCCTGGGTCAATATTAAACCCAACACCAGTCAATATTCAACATTTATACACGGGATATGTTCAAGTTAGTGATATCATGAATTTATACATTGCCAGTTAGTTTATCTATTCCTTCAAGGAAGTGTCTTAAGCGAGGACAAATTTTGTATTCATGTTGTACCTCTACAGAATTACAGCGCCACCTTTACGTAAAGATTTACAGAATTTCTTAATTAAATACGTAGTCTGCTCTGAATAAGAAGTAAGCAGCTGAAATAAACCACATTGATAATGAATAAAACCAATTATACTGAAATAATACCACATAGATGATGAATAAAACCAATTATAGGCAAGGGAGAGATTGCATGGTTCAAGTTAAGCAATCTGAGAGCCTTAGTCCCCCTTGCTTTCTTTTTTTAAATTTTCAGTATAATTCTATAATAAATAAACAATCTTGATTTTAAAAAGTGTGGTTGTAAGTCATAATACTTTAATAAATGCATAATCTACAGTTCGAGTGGCAAGCCAAATTAAAAAAGTCAGATACACTGTTAATGATGTCCATCACTGTAAGAACTAGGATGGCATATCTATGTACATTTCTGGATCCGCCACTGAATGCGAACGCACCCACTTTTATTGCAAATATTTCATGACCTTGACCTTTACACTATCATGTCCACAGACAAAAAGCAAATCATCTGGATCAATGCAAACACCAGTGGGCATCTCCGCCATATACTCATTTACAAAGAAATCCAAATAACGCAAGAAATTTCCTGTTTCGTTAATAAGATGCAACTTTCGCGTTGCCCAATCGGCAACGACGAGATTTGATTGGCTGTCAGCAGCGACACCATGTGGATCGAATCCTTTAGCAATTGACGGATTTCCGGTATAGGAGAACCGGAACAAGCCAGTGCTGTCTACGACGATCACGGAAGCAAGTACAATATCTGCTGCACACAAGTCGCCATTTGTATTTTCTGTGACGTAATAAGGATTTGTATATAAGGGGTTGCCGTTGTTCGATTCGACTTCTTTGACCACGTTTCCTTTCATATCAAATACTGCGAGCTTTCCGACTTTTATTTTGTGTAAACCTAGAAGAATATTTCCAGATCCAGTACAGGGACGTAGTATCCGGGGGGGCCAGGGGGGGCCACATTACCTTTACTATAGTAAATGTTCATTGATAGAATGCTTTTATAACCATATATAGTGATAGCAAGGATACTTGGAAGTGATAGTAAGTTGGCTTTGAAAAAGTTGCCCCCCCCCCCCCCTTTTATTTTGTTTGGTTTTTTTTTTTTTTTTTTGGTTGTCAACTTTTTGAGGTTAGTAAAAAAAAAATTTTCTCTGGTTGGCCCCCCCCCCCACTTTCAAAAACGATGCTACGTGCCTGCAGTACATGCAATACCATGAGCATTCCAATCACCAGTACTAAAGAGAATCTGCGTTTCACCCTTGTCAGTAACTCTGTTCACAACATTATTATTTCGTTCTGTATATAAAATAGTATTTCCAACGTGTGCCAGCCGTTGGGGCCAAAAAGCTGCAAGTTTGCTGTCTATTGCCAGATTTTGCTTGAAATCGTGTTTAGAAATGTGCCGACTGAGAGAACTACAAACATAAAAATAACTGTCTCCTTGTCGTGCAATATCTAACATATTGTTATAGGGACACGTGATCACCGCAACAACTTCCGGATCGTCCATTACTGACTTTTGACCCCGGAACTTGTGATAATGAATAAATTGATGAGCTTCCGGGGTTTTATTTTGAAGATGCCCACCCACACAGTTCTCACACAGTTTTATATTACAAGGTTTACATAGAAATTGAACGTTGTTTGTACAGAGTTGGCATTGTACAAAATGCTGAGCCATTTGGTGATCATGGCTCATTGTGGATTCCCTGAAATGATAAAACATAATGTTGAGAACATTATATACACATGCAATCTCGCGAGTGCTTCTTTCATAACAAGTATGTTCGCATTGTCGGTATCCACAGGTTTTTTTTTTTCTGTTATACTACGTATTTTAACGGAGAGAAAATCCGTGGGTTCCGACGATGGTCTCTCTCTCTCTCTCTCTCTCTCTCTCTCTCTCTCCTCGTATTCTTAATATCGCATGATTTTTATTTCTTTTTTGTGTTGACAGTCATTCTTGTCATTGAGAGATCGACTCCTTCACGTATTTTATTCAATCTTTTTTTCTAGACTTGATTTAATTTTTCTTACTTAATTTGGTGATTTAAAAGCATATAAATTAGAACTACTTTTTACAATTGAAACACAATCTGTTTTTCATTAATTCAATTACTCGAGCTAATTATTCTTGGTCTGATATAACATGTTTAATGCTATAAAAATATTTTTAATTTATTACAAAACGTGTAATTAACTGAAAATAACATCTTACTTCTAAAGGCAGATCACTCTTACTGCATAAAACTACCCTTTATATACAGCTGTTTAGTTCGCAGTGTTTAGAGCTTCCTTAATTTAATAAAATTTAAAATATTTCCATTTCCAATTGTTTTCTCTATGATAAACACTACAAAAGTGTTTCTTGTTTATTTCATGATAATACCCTGTGGTATGTATATTTCTCTATTACTGAAAGGTCAGGTGTCAACCTGCATGTATATCACTGACGTATAAATATACTCAAGAAAAAAAAAGATGTTTTAATTGTTTACTAAGTAATTTGATATGATATATATTTTTTTAACAAAACAAAATAATTAATGAATTATCTTCGGCTAAAGCAAGTCACTTGTGCAACGCTTTTATGACCGAGGCCTAAGTCCGACACCACTTCCGTAACAGCCACGTGGAGAAATTGACATTGCCACATGGACCTGCACGTACTCCATCATCTGATACAAAATTCCCTTAGTCATTACCATCCGACTTCTTAATAAAACTTCTTCTGTTATTATAACATCCATACAAATCGGTTCCCTGACCATGCTGACCAGCTCCCGTTTCAGCAACATTGCATTCAATATGGCGGCGCAGAAGTGACATAATGCCAAATGTTCGTGCTTCCGACAACCTAAATCTAGGTCACATATATAATTAAAGTCAACAAGATTACTTTGACCATTATTTAAAATTTTTTTGTTGTTTATTTTATAAATGTTGATATTTGACTACGGTAAATATAAATAGTCAATAAATTTGTTTCGTTTTTTTGGGACTATTTTTTATAGTAAAATTTGACGTCATGGGGCCTTGTGCATTTCAAATCTACTCAATTAGACGGTATTTCGATTTATTTTATGATGGTTATTTCAAGTAAAAATGGAAATATAAGGAATCACTGTCTAGTTTTGAGGCTTCGCCCGTTATGCAAATTATCCCATGTTTCCCACTATTGTTGATGCCCTTGCATACCCTCAAAACTAGACAGTGATTCCTTAAGACAATTCTACACCGCCATACATGTATATTTACATTTACTTTGTTTGACCCTAATAAAAAGCATTATAGAATTATAAGTGATAAATACACATAACACACAAGACCGAATCACTGAAGTCTGTCTGAGTATGAATACAGGGAATACGCCATTACAGTTTAAACAAAGCGAAAACTTCATGTTTTTTTTTTTATACCATTCATTTGTATTTTTTGTTGCAAAATATAGTTTATCATTTTAGATTGAAAAATAAAGAAAACTTTTATTATTGTTATCTGTTTTATTGTGCACTATTTTCGTTTGCGTATTTTGGTTTGTGTGCAAACAAATTCTGGCGGGAAACTTGGATAAAGCTGTTCCAAAAGCTGTTCTATCAATTGTAACTTACATGAAGGATAAGACGGGAATTTTAATTAAAAAAAATCAAAATTGCGGAAAATACAGGGGCTAAAAAATGTAAATATAAGCATTAATATAATAAAAATTTTCATAACTCGCTAACGCGCGATACTCAATTTGTTTGCACACACCATTGCAGTTATATGAGACTGCATCTTTCAAAAAATGATAATTCAATGCTTAAATATTCATTTGTAATACTTCCGTATATAGATACGTTGTTCAATGGATTGTTTAATTTGCGCTTAGCCACATCTTGTAAACTGACCGCTTTCTTTAGCTCTATTTCTGTTTCTATATTTGGTATTTTCCTTTGTAAAATTAGCTACACTATTCTGGGTGTGAGGCCGAATATATGGTATATAATTAATGTATGAGACAATTAACAATTTTCCTTGGAAATCCTTATCCCACTCTTATGATTATCAATATTTCCATTACATAGAATGAAAATAAATGAACGCTCACATTTCTCTCTTTCTATATATTTTTTCTATTTTTCAAGTTCTACTCACCCCCACCCCGCCCCTCTTCCTAGACATTTTGAAATTATAGAAAAAGATACGAGAAATATACTCACTATCAATAACAGTTTATCACTTATGGTGACAATGACACGTATGAAAGGACACTCCGGTCATAATACATATATAGCATATTAAGAACCCTCTATACATTGACGAAAAATGTTTTTTGGACTTTGAGAAAATTATACAGTGTAAAGGAGATTATTATGAAATAAACTAATTCATTTCTAATATAAGGAGCGTGCCTTTTTTATCCAGGAAAAATCTTTTAAAGACAGTGAAGTGAAGACAAAGAAAGGTTGCTTTTGATTATTCAAATGGAAAAAAATACATACAAATAAAGTTTTCAATTATTCTATCTTGGTCTAACATAATTATTACAATACATTTATTCATATGAAATTTTGACATAGAGTGCCAGATAGCAATTTACTCTTTTTTATGTCAATTGGTGGGTCAGCATAACTACACAAAAGTACCCTGAAGTTAAGGTGCAGTGTAGAGAAGGTCCTTAAGGTAATTCCACCCTCCTGTGATGTCATAGGTTTTTGCAAAAACCTTTATTAAATTAAATTTATACCCAATACATTACATATATACACTGCATTTTGGAAGAATGATTTTCCATAAGTGTAATGACAAATATTGTTAAGTAGTTTAAGAATTTGAAATATAATGTATATTAATATTTCATTTTTTTAATCAACATATGTAATGAAACTGATCGCCTGAAGTCGCTCAAAATTTCAATTTGTCGTCGAAATCATTTGAGGGAACCAATTCACTCTGTTTGATGATTCTATAAGATTTTTGCTGTCGTGGAATAATTAAGATGACGATGTGTTTGTGAAACACTAGGCGCCAGGCGTCATCAGAGTTCAAAAGCGCTATTATACCATATAGGTAACAGTCAATGTCACAAAATCATTGACCTTGATGTCATTTGAAGGAGCTAATAAGTGGAGTATGCATACAAATATGAAGTCTCTATCTCTTATGGTTCAAAAGTTATGACGAAGCTAGGTTAAAGTTGACAACAACAGACACTGCGAGCTCTTAAAGCAACGCCTGTGCGAAGAGAAAATTCGGACTACTGCACATTCATTCGATAGAATTTTTTGATGCCTTATTTTGGACCCACAATGCATCACTTGTTTAAGCTACGTTAAAGCTATGTTCTCGTAGAATTTAGCAAAAGTTCTACAAAAAGTAATCATGTCCTGATTTAATGGATAAATATAGAGTAAATAGCAAACGCGTTCTTCATTTATTTTCAGGTCAAGGTTACAGCGGCAATGCATTTGATACAGGATTGGAGATTACTTATTATTATGAAATATCATAGTATTTTCCAATTCAAAAGCACGATGATAGATTCTAGTTAGGATCGATTGATTGAAGTGAGCAGTGACAGAAATTTAGCTAATTACAAGCACATATCACCTGACGATTGACACGCAATCACGTGTACTAACCCTAGTAAACTGATTTGTTGGGGGCGTAACCGGGCCAGTTGTATCTGGCCATGGCATTTCATACGTAAAATGTAAAATCATGTTGATTTGGTTATTTTGAGTTGATCTACATTATATGGGAATTCATTGTTGAAACTGTTCATAATTCAGGGCTAGTTAATGACTTGACCTATATACGCTATATATGGTAAGATTGGCATTGATAGAAGGAGGTCATATGTCATATACAGACATTTATATTTAAGAATTTCATGAAATGTTGTAGAATTATTTGAAGTGAACACATCAATCAATTCGCCCCCGATTGCTTTATTATTCTGTTCGTTTATGAGGACCAACATTTAATGTACATGTATAACGCATTCTTTATATATCATTTGGTTTAAGGAAGCACTAAACACTAACAGAAACTGTTTTTTGGACCATATAAATATATGCATATTGAGACTTTTCATTAATTAGAACATAGGGTACTTGCCTAATTTGCGCAGGAAAAATGTTCCAAGACAATGGACTATTTGTGAGCAGAAATCACTGTTCTTTAATTACATTAGGAAAATTAATGAAAACAATTAATTAAATTTCTTAATCTTGGTCTTATATAATGCTAAAATATTTTTAATCTATTACAAATCATGTAAGTAACTGTAAATAACAATTTCTTTAATCTTACACCTAAGGGCAGATCACTCTATCTGCATAAAACTATCCCATAAAAAGAGCTCTTTAGTGTGCAGTGTTTAGAACGTCCTTAATTCGCTCGGCAATTCTTACAGAGCAATTCAATTAATATTCAGGAGGCGGATCCTTATTATTATGAAATATCATAGTATTTTCCAATTCAAACGAACAATGATGAAATTTGTCAGGATTGATTGATTGAAGTGAGCAGTGACAGAAATTTAGCTAATTATACACGCACATATCCAGAAGGCAATCACGTTATTAAGATTAGTTGTGGGCGTAACCGGCCACCTGTATCTGGTCATGACATTTCATACGTAAAATGTAAAATCATGTCGATTTGGTTATTTTGGCACGCCAAATTCACAAAAATGATTGTTGAAACTGTTTCACAGTCGATAAACTAGGTTTATCGACTTGTATATACTATATATTACAGATTGGCATTGATAAACTATAGTCATAACGACATTTATATTTAAGAATTTTACGTTGTAAACCATTTGAAGTTAACACATAATCTATGTTTCACAACCGTAAACTTTACTTAACACCGAAAACAATCATTTGCGATGTGCAAAACATAGATTATATCATTTGATAAATACAGTTTAACACTATTTGTAAACTGTTTTTTTACTACCATATAAATATATGTTAACTGTTAATTAATAAATATAGTACTTGCCTTATTTGTGAAAAATGTTAACAACTATTTGTGACTAAATACTGTTTTAATTACATTGTGAAAATTAATGAAAACAATTTATTAAATTTCTTAATCTATGTTTATATAATGCAAAATCTTTTTTATTACAAATCTTTATTAAAGAACAATTTCTTTAAACATAGATTATCATCTGCATAAAACTACAGTTAACAACTCTTTAGTTGCAAATATAGTTTTACAGATGAAATTCAATTAATATTCAGGAGGACAATCCATAACTATAGTTTACGGTTTGTAAACTTCTTCAGTTTACAGTGGGACCATTAACCTAGTTTATCAATTGTGAAACTAGGTTTATCTCATTTTTGTGAATTTGGCGTGCCATAAATATCTGTTGTAACATTGCCTCTTACAAACATATTTAGACAATAATTAATGAAATTCCTTTTAGACAAACTTAGATGTACATTTTCGCTCACGAGGTTTGATCTTGGATTTGAGCCTGTCAAGTCTAGGGTTCTTTAGCCAACACGTTGCTGTTGGCCCCTTGGCATATTTTATAAGATAATTTAGGCTTTTCTTTTCTTACTGAGAAGCACCAATCAAATTAAAGCTCTCGTAAACAGTAATGTAAAAAAAAATGATTCAGTTGACACCTCAAATGCACGTTACAGTGTACAAATTGTTTATCGTAGAATCTTATGACTAAATGTGATTTGTTGAACGTTAGGAAAACAGTCAAGATTGTCTCTTCAGCAAAACCCAAACTATGAAAGAAAAATAATGCAGGGGTCCAATGTCCACGAGTTGACTCAGGAACCCTGGCATTGCGAGGATGTCTGTCAAGAATCCCCTAGAGACAAGTTAAATGGCATATTTATTGAAATTACAAAGAAAAATGGAATTTTTTTTTAATTGGAGAAAAACCATTTGATGCTGTTTTGCATGAGTACCTATAATCTTTTTTTTTTTCCTTTCTTTTTTTTTTTTTGCACATTTTAATGTCATTACAGTCCTTTTTTAAAATTATATATAATATATGCAAATGTAACTAATTTTTTTGAGTTTTGAATTTTAAGAGTGCACCCTCTCCAAATCCGCCCGTGATATTCTTCCATTTTTTTCAGCAGTATTTTTTTTTTCTAAAATGCTTTCAATGGACATTTTATCTTTGACATTAAATAGTTTCAAATCTTTCTTTCAGCACCGGGTCAAAAATTGACCTTCACAACCCCTGCGGAAGAAAAAAAAAAGCATCGACACTTAAGCACACGACATTGATGACGAACGCGAGGCTAAATATTGGGAGAGGAAAAAATTCTAAGTAATTGCAGTTATGTAGAAAAATATTGTTGATTGTAATCAATTATTGCATTGAATACAAGAAAATCACGCTTTGATGCCAGTTGGCTATCCTTGTTCGATTTCCGATCGGCTGGTATTGAGCGTGTAATGTGGACGATTAGCTGTCTAGATGTTACGAGCCGTTTTCTTCGTTTCGTCTATTCATGCAGTCCACAGAAGTTAATTAATTTGGTTAAACGGAAAGATTTTAAGACCCAGCTTTGGTTGGTTCCTGACATGTTTTCAAATTTCGTTAACGTTAGGCCGAGTGTGCTAAATGATTGGTTTATTTTTTTCATTTCCTAAAACTGTTCTCTCTCTCTCTCTCTTTCGTTTCTGTGAAGAAAAATAAGGCTTATTCTTAGTTTTTACCAAGGCAAATCATTTTGGAATTATATTTTGAAGACTTTCAGATTCGCATAGGTATGCATTTCGTAGTCTTAAAAAAGAAGGTAGATGACAAGATACCACAGAAATAAAATAATACATACGCTCAAAAATCCGCGATATTTTCAAAAATGAAAAATATTTATATTTAAGAGACATATAATTAAAAGAATTAACTTTTAGTAGTTCCGAAAGAAACCAACAATGAATTAAATTCTGTTGGCCTGCATGTTTAGACGCAAAATGGCCATAATAAAAGTACATGCATCTCATGAACTGCGCATGCCTAACCAGAATTTTCAGTGTGATATGGGTTTCTTAAGAATTATTTGAAGGGTTATGTAAAAGAAGAGACGCCTTTAAAACACTGTGACCACTATTTCTACCTCCTTTTTTGGAAAGTTCGCCTAGGAATGAATGTCTGTAGTATGTAAGTAAAATTTGTAGCATGTGAGTAAATTTTTACTTGTGTCTATGATCATTTTAATATTGTCTTTTTATGAGTGTAGAATGAAACTAATACTTGTAAATATAAAAAAGAACGAAAAAAAGAAAAAAAAAACATAGAAAGAAAGAAAACGGATAGCTCCCAGTTACTTTTATTTATTTTTAAATACCTGCGTAAATTACTAGTACTTAGTAGTTCAAGTCATTAATACATAATTCTAATTTAAGAATTAATTCCAACGGGCATGCAGTCTGATTTCGTTTCAATTACGGACTTGTGATGGGTAAACAGTTATTTAAAACGGAAACTTGCAATAACTCTTTTAAAAGTCTACTCTTAAAAAAGAATTTTAGAAACAACCAAAATCAAAAGAAGGGAGTATAATTTTTGCGTTGAATTTCATTTCCCGAAATTTGCAATACATTTCTGATATCTAAAATAATTTCATTTCTGACATATTTTTTTTTATTTTAATTTCCTTTTTCTTTTTTCTTTTTTTTTTTTTTGGTGATTATCTCTCCGACCATTTCGTGTCATGTTGTAAGTCCATCTGGAAATTTAAAAAAAATACAATTAATATGCATTAAATCTTAAATTATAAAAAGTATAATAGTTTGTTTGTTTATTTAAGTCATATGACTTATCAAAAATATATAATTTTCTACAATTGCTATATTGCATTGTATTGACACAATTTTTTTTTTCCATATCAATGAAATATTTTTACTTTTTTTGCAGGACATATTTGTTATTTATAATATTTCCAACAAAACATGGAAAAATAGTTGTACAGAAATTGTTTCTAATCCTTTTAATTCAACCAATAAAACATATTACAAAATTCATTCACATTTTCAGTTGATAATTGTATATACTTAATACATGCACTAAGTTAAATCGAATAATTTTCAGGTAATTTTTAGATAAACAAAAATTTGATATCCACCGAATTAAATGTTATAGTGACATTTTAAAAAAACTATGATAATTGTATCTTCAACCTCCATCTGACAACAAAAACAAAATCTATTTCCCTTTTGGAATATGCAATATTTCCTGTAAGCTTCATTATTAAATGTGCACTTAACTCTATGCATTTGAGACTTTAACAACATTTACCCAGAAGTGTACCAAGTTCATTCAAATTTTAGCATTACACGCGTGCGCATGTTAATGCATGTGCATAATGACTATATCATCTTGTCTACACAATCTATATATTAAATATACTATATATTAAAATATTTCATCCAAAAGTATTAAAAAATATGCTCATTCAAGTGTATTTTTGATTTTTAATTTCACGTGCATGCACGTGCATATTTGAGCATGATGACCATACCTTCTTGTAGAAGTCTGTTACATCTATCTATGTAAATCCCACTCCGTTTGGCTGAAAACCAAGGGAGTTATAGCTGTTTAAAGTTTCAGCCAATCAGATTGCAGCGCATACACGCACGTGTATGCATGTGCATGGTGACATGCCTTCTTGTAGGAATCCATTATATCTATCTATGTTCCAAATCCCATCCTGATTGGTTGAAAACCAAGGGAGTTATAGCTATCTAAAGTTTAAGCCAATCAGATTGCAGCGCACGTGCATGCACGTGCTTTTATGATAATTGTTATACATCAAGTTGTAGGATATCTTAATGCATGGCTATGTTCAAAATTTCAAAGGATTTTGTCAAAAAACAAGAAAGATATTGAGACTTTAGTTTCAGCCAATCAGAGCGCAGCGCACGTGCATGCGCGTGAGATCTTGCTATTTTGATCATGTCATCATGTATATGCTACTAATATATCCTCACATTATGAGTTTCAAAGCATTTCATGAAAAAATAGAAAAGTTGCGGCTATATCTATTATATTGGTCATTTCTCGTGTTGCACGTGCGCGCTCTTGCAAGCACGTGCGCGCAAAATGACCTTGATTCCGCAAATCTACATAACATGTCTACTGACCCTAAAAAGGTTTTACCTACATCGGACGAACAGTTTACAAGATCATTCCCGGACAAAAAAGTACCCAGGAAGAAGAAGAATAATAATAATAATAATAATAATAATAACTAGAAAAGAAACTCGTTGCGAGCAACGAGAGGTCTTCCGTCTGATTCTGAAAAAAAACCCCGCAAACTCGAGCTGAAAAAAGTAATCAAAATTTTTATGGAAACAAGGGGATTAAACCCGATTTGCCAGAGTGAAAATCCAATGCGCTTACTATTACGCTATTGGGACCACAGCTCTAAATGTATTTGTATATATTTCTGCAACAGTACATCTGTCTTGGAATAATGAAAGGCGAATCACTATTCATAATTTTGCGTCAAACGCCTCGAGTAAATCTTCGCGCCTTTTCTTTAGAATATTCCATTTAATAGGTGTGATCGCTTCGATGGAAAGAAAAAAGAACGTTCTTATAGCTAAAATATCAAGGTGAAGAAAGTATATTTAACACATTTTACAAATTTCATATTGTATATAAGCAAGTAACACTAAAGCAATGAAACAGTTATTGAATTTAACTTTTTTTTAAATTTCCTGTTTATCCCCTAAGTGAACTATCCCGATTAGTTAAGCTTTTATGAAAAGGTTGAAATGTTTTGCCGAAAAACATGTGTTGCCCGAAGACAATCAAGGAATCGGATACCATTTATGCTCAATAACTTGAATCAGATCTTTGAGAGAAGAATGTTAACATAAACTCCATTTAGCGATCTTTGATAAAATTGTTATCTTATTTTGTCTTTTCTATTACTTTAATATGACAAAAGTGTGCATTGGAAAATCAGTTTGTCATTTCTATACTTACTATATTCATTGACATTGTTTCTAGAAAAACTATTACTTATAACTATGATTTAAGATCTGTTTTCACGTGTTGCAAATCAGAAGGTATTAGGTATCGAATTTCATTTGCACATTTAGTCTTTTCTTTTTCTACTTTGAGAACCAGCCAAATCTAATTATAGATGACGTTTAAGAGGGACATAGTTTGACAAAGAATTGCAACGTAACTACGACGTGACAATCCAAGTATTCCTTTACATTTCATTTTTCCTTGTGTTACTTTCGTTCAAGCAAACGCTCGGCTGACTCCGTAAACCCCTATTGCGAAATGTCGGAGTCGACAGGGACAGCCGCCATCTTGGACTCGCTTCAGCTTTTTAAATGCTAATATCTAGAGTTTCGATTTATCAATATTCAAACAAATTATATAGTGAGCATTATAAGAAGGGTTTCTATTAACATACTAAATATAAATAAAAAATATTGAAAAACAAAAAAGTTAGAAAAATACGATTTTTTAAATTTGCATCTCGTAACGACCGGAAGTATTGACGACGCACAAAAAGGTGATTCTGCAAACCAGAAAGTCACGAGCTATTGTCTCCAATAAGTCTCCAGTTCATATCTTTAGCCATTTTCGATAAAAGTGCGCGACAAAATCGCATTTTAAAATCAGAAAATTGTCCATAACTTGGCACCGGAAGCGAATTTTCCAAAAACAATTATAGACTGCACAACTTCATGTAATGACGCATTTTTTGTGAAAGTTTCGTTGAAAACCACTGAATAGTTTTCGAGAAATCGCGTGCACAAAATTTTGTCAAAAAAAGAATAATAATAATAATAATAATAATAATAAGAAACAATACAATCACTATAAGGTCTTCCGTGAAGACGGAAGACCTTAATAATAATAAGAAACAGAGTAAAAACAATATGTTCCCCAACTTCGTTTGGGGAACATAATTACTGATAAAGTTTTTAAATATCAATGATTTATTTATCAGGTTTGCTCAATTTTTTTTTTTTTTTTGTGATTGCTGAAAATTTTATATGTAATATTGTAAACTGAGTATTCTTTGAATTCGCCCTGTTTTATGTCCGCCGAAGAGAAGGTAGGGTATAAATAAATAAAACAGGGGCAGAAACTTTCCAAGCTGTATACAGTATTTTGTTGGAGATATCGGAAATGAAGACTTTTTAAAACAGTGGAAGTGAAAAGTTGATTATTTTGAAAAATTCCGGAAATGAAATCCAGCCACTAAACTTTGACACAAAAAGAGAAGTTAAAGGAAAAAGTAAATTTCTTGTCTCGATTTTAAATTACTAAAAATTGCAACATTTCACATCAAACCATAAACGTGAAATTATATTTCAAGTACGAAGAATTTAATTTCTTAAAATCTATAATTTTAACTCACTTAACCTCCCGATCAAAGATTTTATTTAACACTATGTTCAACTCCCATGAGTGATTTCAGTACTTTGATTTGAATAGGGAATCCCCATTGTTCAGAAAAAGTGCCTTCTTGGAAACTATATAATTTTAATATACATGTATACGCAAACGGGCAGGAATTTTCTTCAAAACTGCCATTTCCGATTTTTGTTTCAAAGAGGCACATTTTTGAAAAACGCAAAAATTGAATAAAAATTATTCTACAAACGAAATGTAAACTCTGTACTTTAAATAAGTCTGAAAAACGATCCTTTCCGAAATCGTCTAGTGGATATGCTGGTTTGTTACCAACTCGTACGTTTACCAGAGAATAAGTTAGAGTCCTGGAATGGATCATTTTTTGCATATATATTTTTTTCTAACTTTTTTCCCCATATGAAATGGTAGGGCAAGGGAATTATATATTTTTTTTGAAAAAGAGAGAGAATGTAAAGAAGATTTTTGAGTAATAAATTTATGCAGGATAAAATTGTTTTCCTTGATATGCTGTGTCTTAAAAATAATAATTCATTTATTTTTGCATGTCTTGGAAAATAAAGTTACTGTATTGTTTAGTTAATTTTTTACATACTGTAGTTAAAACAATTTTGAATGATTTTCGTCTCTTAGTTAGCAGGCAAGATTTAATTTGAAACAAATAGGGATGTGCGATTTTATCGATATACCGGTATATCGCAATTTTTTGTTGCGTGATACGTATTGATACGGATACCTTAATACCGGTCTTTAAGTACATATTATAAAGTCCAGAAATTATTCTTTTATTTGTTCAATCTTTCAAATTACAATAACAGAAAGTATAAAGAAAATGGTGTAAAAAGTGAAAAGAACGGCATCTTACCGTCCAAACACGATTGATTTTATAAACATAGAAATTTAAAGAAAGTAAAATTTGTTTTTCTAGCATAAAAGTGGGAAAAAATCGTGATATATCGCGATACGAAATTTTTGGCGATACCCATCCCTAGAAACAAATGAAATGTCTTGGACGTAGCTCCAACAGTGTGATTATGAGACGCAGTTTTATATCACAAAAAAGATATTTTTGCACGATGTCGACAGTATATCTTTCAAAATGCTGCCTAAGCCATTGTCCTTTTTGTTGTTCCAACCTTTTTTCGAGCAAATGACGAAAGAGTATTGCTGTATCAAGCAGAAAATACCCGCAGTAAACATATTCCTTTACGTAGCCGTATCTATATTTAGACATAACAAGGGAATTGAAATGTCTTTCTCGAAATTTAGGGAAAAATCGCGAGTTTCTGCAACAGCCTCTTTATTCACGTTCATTGTTTTCTTTTTTTAATAGGATAAAGACGGTGACGAGATTTGCCGCCGTGTTTTTGTTGTTGGTAGGCGTGGCTTACGCCGCACCCTTAGATACGGACCTCGATTTAATGGCCCTAGTCCCTCCTTCTCGTCCAAATTCCTTCCAAAATTTCCAAGAAATGCAGCGCTATCTGATGGAATTAAATAATTTTTATCACATGATGTCACGTCCAAGGTAAGTCATAGCAAAACACTGTATCACATGATGTCACGATTTACTTTAGTCACAGCAAACTTATTTCAGACGATGTCACGACTTCCGTGTGTCACAGCAAACTTTATATCACATGATGTCTAGACTTACTTTAGTTACAGCAAACTTATAAATAATGTCACACCAAAGATAAGTCACAGCAAACTTACATCAGTAGATGTCAAGCCCGGGGTGTGTCGCAGCAAACCTATATCAGTAGATGTCACGTCAAAAATAGGTCGAAGCAAACTTGTATGACATAGTGTCAGGTCCTGTCAAAGATAAATAATAATAATCTTATCTCATATGATGTCTTGCCCGAAGTTTGTCTCAGCAAATTTGTATCACATGATGTTGAGTCCAAGATAAATCACATCAAACTTATATCACACGATGTCACGTCAAAGATAAGTAACAATAAACATATATCACATGACGTCACGTCAAAGGTGACTAACATCAAACTTATATCATATGATGTCAGGTCAAAGATACGTAACAAAAAAACTTATATCACATGACGTCACGACAAAGATGGGTAACATCAAACTTACATCACATAATGTCACGTCAAAGATACGTAACAACAAACTTATATCAAATGATGTCACGTCAAAGACAAGTAACATAAAACTCATATCACATGATGTCACGTCAGAAGTCACAGCAAACTTAAATCACATGATCATGATGATGTCACGTCTGAGGTAAGTCTCGGTAAACTTTATTCTTCAATGGTTTTTTTAACACTTATAATTAGCTTATTTTCTTAAATGTTTCATATTAGTTGATTCTGTGTTACATGTATGTAGAGCATCAAAATTTGAGCTCGCCGCGAAAAAATTGGATTTGAAATAATTATATTAATCGACACTTTTAAAGCACGAAAATCAATCACCACAAATCAATATTCATATAAGTATACACTGTCAAAACTGACGTCAAAAAAAGTTACAAGTGTATTGATATATATAGGACTGAGACAGATTCACATATTTTTGGTGTTCAGATAACGAATGCTTTTAAGTTTAATGTGACGTATTGGTGTAAACGCTGGCACTCACATTATGTCAGCTGACATTGGCATTACCTAAGTATAAACATGGCAATAATTTTTGTCAAGGGACATCTGGCTCTATGCCAGTATAATTATGACAAACATTTTCTTGACGGACACTAGGTCAGTATAAACATAACACGCACTCTGTCAAATGACATCTGAAACCATGTGAGTGTAAACATCCATGTAACATTTAATAAATAATTTAATGACGTCATTGATAAATACATTGAAAATTTATGACGTTTGCGGAACCTGTATTTCTTTGATAACATTTATATATTTCCTGTGTTTATATACTAAGCGAACTGGGTAATTGATTTTTTTACCATTTTCATGCATATGAATTATCATGCGTAAACATATACACTGATAAACTAATCTTGGGTCTTACATTTGAATGGTTGGTGCAAGGGCTTGTATAATTCACACATTCATTTCTTGGTAAAAGACCTTTTCCTTGCAGTACTGTTAATGTTGACCTATGTCCATTACGTTGAAGTTTGAACTACTTTTGAAAAACTTAACCTTGACAGGAACATTAAAAGGTTGCTATTGCTTTTTTTTTCATACTTGTATTTCACTCTTCATATATTTCTCTCGATATACCTGTCTTTGGGAAACTCCATTTCTTGACCCCAAAATTTACCTTTATATTTTAAATACCTTAACCGTAGCATGGAGCTTATTCCATACTTTGGGTATAAGTGCGTCACATACACATTTTGTGTTAATAAAAAGTGAAGGAGGGAAATAGTTAAGATGATGTAAACAAAGTGAAAACTGCTTAATCCGACACCTGAATAATCCGACACACTATGAATTACGACATTTAATTACGTTTCCATTTTACTGCTTCTCGTGTTTCTTTACACTGTGTAATCAGTATATTCCAACACAAAATTTGTCTTCCAGTGCATGTCTGATTATACAGGTTTCACTGTACTACCGTTTGATTTGTGATTATTTTCTTTCCAGATATGGGAGAGATGTTAGTCACTTAAGCTCAAAAACGAAGAAAATGCAGGAAATCCTTCATCAGTTATTGAATCCAGTGGTTTAAGACAGGAGTTTGAGTCTATATTCAGTAACATCCATGTTACAGTAAAGGACAATGACTTGTTTACATTTCTAATTGTTTTATAAAATGGCGACTGCATATACTTTTCGAACACGCGCACTATTCAAGTAGCAAATTAACACTTAAATGTATACAGAACAGAAGTATAAAATGTTGAAATAAACTATCTTATCTTCTTATTATTTGAATCTGTTAGATTTGAGTTTTGAAACATAAGTTTTTTATTTCATAGTATATTTCTATTGCAGCAAATTATAATTGCATATGTGTGTATTTCGTTCTGAAGTCATGTCGTCTTAACCTCAGCTTATCTTTGGTGCTGTATGATTATTCACAAATAATTTTACTTTACCAGAAAAAAATGAAAGTACAGTATCGTATATTTCGATAGTTAAATTTAATGAAAGTTTTTGGATGAACCAAAAGTCTTTAAACAAGTCGATCTCTTTCCCATATCCTTCAGGAAAGATACATACAACTAGAAGGTTGTCAGTCGCTTACGTTCACATGTTATGCTATTTATACCATTCTGTAATTACTCTAGATAGATCCCACAATACTTGAAATGTGCCATTTATCAACCTTTGAAATGAAGATAAGTGGAAAAGGCACACAACGTGACCTTAATCAGATAAAATATAAGGCATCATGTGACCATCCAATGCAAAAAGCGCACTACTCTCAGACCAATTAATCGGTTGGCCGTATAAAATAATATTGATATATTATTATGTAAGTTAGTATCTAAATGAATAAAAACATCATAAAATAAATTCATAAATTCAAATTTTTATTGTATTCAAAGAAATTTTAAAAAGAAAAAGACAAGAAAAGATAATTTATTACATAGCAAATTTCACGAACAGCCCACTCCCCACCATACTGTGTATAAAACTGGACATTTGGATATATCAAGTATCTAAATGAATTTGATTCACTTTTTCTGCATGGTTCATATTTAAAAAAACGGGTAAAGATACATGTTAAAATAACTTTCAAATTCAAATCCCTGCCACAAGGCCAAGTTTAAAATAATGTTTATTTGGCTTCTTTATAAACATTATTTTAAAGTTGACCTTGTGGCAAGGATTTGCATTTGCAAGTTATTTAAACAGGTAAATGTATATTTGGCTACTTCCGCCGAAACATGGCTGAAAAATTGCCGACTCGGCGTAAAACATAATACAATCAATCATATTTGGCTTCGTCCACCCCAGGATGAAAAAAGAAGTCAAAAGATAGGTGAGAATATTTCTATCGATAAAATTTAAAATTAAATGTCGAATTTTCTAAAAAAAAAAAAATTGTTCCGGAATGTATAAATTGCATTGCTTTTCGGAGGATTAAATAACTTTTGAATTGTCGATAGGGTGAGGGCAACTAAATTTTTATAAAAAAGCTTGCCTAACATAAGGCGATTTCTAAGTTGGATACAATTCATGTACAAACTTCACTCAAAGGTTATTCAAATGATATTGTCATCCCCTATCCACGATTAAAAATTGAATGCAGATAGCTTCCAACCCACTAATTTTGGTAAATTGAGTGCAGATCACTTCAAACACACTTTTTATGGTTCATTGAAAGTAGATGACTTCAAACACACAAGTTATGGTTCATTGAATGTGGATCACTTCAAATATATTTGTTATGGCTCATTGAATGTGGATAATTTCAAATATTTGTTATGGTTCATTGAATGTAGATTAATTTATTTAAATACCCTTGATATGGTTCATTGAATGTAGATCACTTCGAACACACTTCTTATGGCTCATTGAATGTAGATCACTTCAAATACACCTGCTATTGTCCATTGATTGTAGATCACTTTAAATATACTTGTTACAGTACATTGAATTTCTTATTTACTGGGCTACTGATTTCTCTTTGCAGAACAAAAAGGTTTGATCGAAATTTTAGATTTAAGGAGGCACTTAACAAAATTATGCCCTACATTCTTTTCGTTATGAAATAAGTCCAAAGTTAACAGGAAAAATGAGAAACGACAAAAAAGTTGTGTTTAACTCTAAACAAAATCAACAAAAAAAAAAAGCAAAAACGTTCAAGGAAGTCGTCATAAAAAGAGAAAGACCAGCAACCATAGCAATGCCCAGAAATTTGATATATTGAAAGATGGTAAATAAAGTACCTTGTGTGTAAGATGATGCAAGATCTTGGAGACCTAAAACAGTTATCAATGCAGAAGAATCTTGCTAAAATCGAAGGATTGATTAAGAGAGAAGAATGGTATTTCGCTTTAATATAGTACATAAATTAACTCCAACTAGAGACCTAAGATTCAAGACGAGTGCTAGAATATAGAATACCATATTTACTGAATGAGGAGCAATAAGATTAACTATACGACATACTCAGAATAAATTGATCAAGCTACTCAAAAAGAGGAGATAAAATTATTTTCAAACACAGTCTAAGGCGATAAAGCATGTATGCATTAATGTTAGCCGAAGGAAAGTTTAGTGTAGATAACATTAGGCCATAATAAATAAATTGCTAGATTCTCATCCGAATTTTTTTAAAAATCGGGGCGGGCGGGCGGATTTTATTTTATATTTTTTATTTTTGCAGATTTTTTATTGACCTAGTCAATCGGTGAAATTTTATCTACAATACCAGAATAAAAGACATAGTAAAGGTTCCATTATCTCTTACTTCACATCATCACCAATCTTTTCAACCAATGACCCTTGTATAGTATTTCTGCTATGTTTACATGTCTGTGATGGCGGATACAGAAACACTATGGTAAAATTCCGCACGTTTATTAGTGGTCGCCAATAATATATCAACAATAATACAGTGACTTACAGAGGATTGGTAAACACGTCTGAACGGGTCGACAATCAGCAATCAGAGAGAGTGACGATTACGTCACAGCCCGCATCACTGCCGGGCACGTGGTCTGGAGGTTACTAGAGAAATCGTTCCCAGCTCCTCCAGGACCACTACACTCCTCCCCATTTTGAAAGAGGGCGTCCCAGCCCGCAAAGTAATTACAATGGGACAAACTATAATATACAAACAATAGTAATAATTAACACCTAGCAGGGCCTATCTTACATACATACACATGCATTCACACAATAATGAAACTTTAAACATTAATGTCTCTATAATAATAAAAATCACAGATTTAACAGTTCCTATCACACAGTCACTCATCCTCCGCGTCGTCTCGGAACACCACGAGGTCCATCGTTGTTAACATCCACCAAGTGGTCCATCGCTGATACATCTGGATAGGCTCTGCTCAGTACATCAAAGGCGACATCTATAGTGCGGCTGGTTCCGGCCATCAGGACTATCTGCTCCCGATGCAGGCAAACTCAGGTAAGTACATCCGGGCATCATTTCCCGGCTACAGCGCAAGTATTTATAACGACCCCCTCAACTGAGGCCCAAAGAACACCCTGAAGTTCCTAAAAACCAGGCCCGCTAGCAAGGCGACGTCCTGTCCTCTCGCTGCGGCTACTCTGCGGTACACTTCTCCGATGTGCCCGGGGCCCATCGGCGCTTCAACTCCACAAGGAAACTCAGGACTATCCGACTCGACTAGCAGTCGGTCGGTAGGAATAGCTCTGACTCCCGACAACTGGGTCGCGGACATATCCGCGATCTGACCTCCGATTCCAAAGAATACGGGTCTGCCAGACTCCACCCAGAGCTTCACCTGCTCTGTCCACCAGTGAAACCACGGATAAAGATAGGTACTAGGATGGGAACAAACATCCCGTCCATAAGAGTAAGGCAATCTTGAGTAGGAACGCGGCCCAAAGGGTCGTCCGCTGTCCCCCTCAAAACCAGTATCATCCCGGTACTGAACGTGGCCTGGCGGAAGAACTCCGCCAGCACAAACCTCTGGCACCTCTGAGTGGCTGGACCGGAATAATCCAGTCCAATCTCTCCTAACACAAAGTTCCTGCTTCTACACACTCCCACAACGCGGGCTACATCGGACTGCAGAACAAAGTCCGCAGACCCAGGGGAAATCCCCTGAGCTACCACCCACTGCGGATTGCCTAAGTCCGAGAGGGGCTCCTCTCGGAAACCATACGCTACGCAACCACCCACCAGCTCCACTCGTACATCGACGGGGCGGTGGTCTGCGCGCAACAACTCCCCCACCGACTGTCCCTCACCACCCGGGATCCTCCGGGGGAACCACAAACAGTCAACAACCTGTATCAGAGGGACCTGGGGGTCCGCTGACCAAGAAGGCCGCGGCGCTCCGCCGCTGGCGCCTTCCTCCGGCGGAACCACAACAACAACTGGTGGTTGCGGGCTCTCCGCTACCACAGTCGTGGTCACCAAGCTCTCCCTGGAGCTCGGAAGGCTGTCCGGTACAAGAACCACCTCGCTGCTGACCAAGGGCCTCCGGCAATAACTCGTCTTCCCAAGACTCCGCTATATTAGAGCGGGATCGTTCCATACAGTTCCAAGTCCCCATAATGTTGGCACCGTTTAACATAATAGCTATCACCCGGGGGTGTATGAGCATTGCAACATGGGGCAACTCCCCCATCCGCACCCTGCGGATCTCCGACTCTAGGGGCGGCACAATACCCAGATGAGCAGAGAAACGGATCATCAGATCTCTGACACTACCGGAAAACCCCCATTCGACTTCTCCCATTCGCCAGACCGCCCACTGGCGGAGATGACCCAGCATCCCAAAGTCGCTGGTACCCTCAGGGGACACCCTGAGCAAACGAGCTAACTGCAGGAGAAAATCCCTGAACACCTGGGGGTCATCCACCCCCCTAGTGTGGTACTCCCAAATGTGAGCCAACATCGGGGTTGCCCCCGAAAACTTCATTCCACAAGCATGGACCGCACACCTGCGGGTACCTCTGGCTCTGATACGGCGGGCTCCCGCCCCCTCCGCACCTGCGGGTAATAACCTTAACCTGGCATAACTGGTCAACCCCGCACGCCCAACTCCCAGGGGTCGGGGTGCGCTGGGTTCCTGCGCCTTCGCAGGCTCCTGACTCCCAAGGCTCAGCTCAACAATCTCCGACCAAGAGGGCTCTGGTCGGATAGGCGCTCCGCGTCCAGCCGGCGGCAATGGAGGCGGCACATCTGGAATCCCTGTAAT